AGAGGCAGCACGATGGCTTTGGAGCAGCTGTCCTGCCCCTGCCAGCCCTCTCCATAGGGAGGACATGCAATCCAGAGGGCTGGAGCAGGGCTGGCTGAGGCTGGTGCAGGGATGCTGGGCAGGGTATTGGCAAGGGGCTTTGTTGTTGGCCTAGCCACATTCATGATGTATGAAAAAGCTGCTGACGATCCATTGCATCCTTGGCCTTGGGGTCATGTTTGGGAATTGCCAAGGGACAGGAGGGGGGGAATGCAAACAGGATCTCTTGTTTCAGGGTAGATCCTACCAAACTGCTGCTGGAGGAGGAAGAGCTGCCCCTGTCTCAGCTTGCCTCTAACCCCCAAGTGAGCAAGGGAGAGAAAACATAGTGCACAAGAAAATATTCTTGTTCAGTTGAAAATACAGCAGTTTTCTGATGGAAATGTGGACCCTTTAAACTCAGCCTGCTTCAAAATTCTTGGTATAAAAAGTAGTCCATTCCTGAGAAAGGAAGAGGTTAGTGAAGGACAGAAAAATGAGCTGCTCAAGGAAGATCTATGTATGTGTGACATTTTTCATAACTGCTGATGCTAAAAACAGCCTGCAAACAGTGCATGTCTTTATTTATTTGACCCTAAGCTGTGGAGGATGGTGAAGATTTATCATAAAAGTTTTGTTGGTGCTTTTCCCACCGTGCTAATGTTCAATTATTGAGATCTATTTGGGCTATAAAACAGCAAAGTACATCAATCCCCTGTTCACCAACTTCCTGGAAAGGCTTCCAGGGGCTGGATACCATTATGGCATGGCCAGACCAAAAGAACCAACCTAGTATGAACTCTGAAAAAAAATTCCTTGGGGAGAACAGGGATACAAAGACAAAGCCCCAGAGCTGAAGATGCATTAGTTGCTGGTTGGCTACTACACAGCACATTTTCATAGTCAGATACTCTGTCCTACTAAGAGACTTCTTTCCTAATACAGCTTTCTGATTAAATAATTGCTGGTCAGAAAAGCAAAGCAGCATGACATTATTTTCATCTGAATTGCTTGTTAGAAAACGTGTTTTAACTTGCATCAGTAAATGCCTTAATCCACAATAGTAGTGATTTGGGTTTCTTCTGTTCATACAAATATTTTTCAAATCAAGCTTTCTCCCCTTCTACAACCTCTCCACCTGTGCACTCAGTTTTCCCCTTTTACTTTTCCCTTTTATACAGGTCACATTCTTTTTAATGCTTATTTTATTTTCCTAGCTGTAGTTTTCATTAGTTGCATTTTCCCGCAACTTTGTCTTTCCATTCCCTTTTCCCAGCCCACCCCCCTGCCCATTTCAGTCAGGTACTCTGAGTACGATGCAGACTTTTTTTTCCTTGGGTTAATTAGCTTTAGTTGGCCTTTTCCTCTTCAGTCTATAACTATTGGATATTTTAATGAAATTGTATTCTTATAGAAGGTCTTCCAGCTGATTGATAGACCTCTGGAATTACATTAAGATTACATTAAATCTCTGAACATACCTCCTCTATCCCCTCACACCTAGAAATGTATTTTATACAATATTTCTACTGTTAATGTGAGTTTATGGAACACTGTTTCTAATTGCCCATTATATCTTGTAATGATAATTTCTGTGGATAAATCTCTGTTTTATTATTTCTTCTTCTAGATTGGTCTGCTCTCCTGCTATAAGGGTTTTGGTGATATTTTCATATTCTTCATTTCAGCAAATACCTTTCCTTTCCCCCTTATAGTTTTGCATTTATTTTTTATGCAATAAAAAGATACTGAGGCAAGGAGGGGGGGACCTTGTCCTGCAGGTGCTGTGGTGATGGCAGGCTGGTTGTGGTGGCTTTTCCTGTGATGCCTAGCCCCTCGCTGTCTGCAGTGGGGACCAGGACCAGTGGCACCCAAGCAGCCCTGTCAGTGGGGCAGCCTCTGCTATACACGTCTTCAAAAGGGGGTTTTGCTAATTTTGCTTATACCACATATTTACACTTTTTAATTTAATTGGTTAACACCCTACAGATGTGAAAAGCATGTGATTTTTAATTTTTTGGGGGTCTTAACTAGGATAACATTTTCTCTCCCTGTTTAATCTATTAATTAGGAGTAGTTGGCTGTAATTGTAATTAAATATACAGGTGCTATTTTTTAAATTACTGAAATGCTGTTGCAACAAGAAGGATGCCATCTCAGATCTAAACATCCAGGGCCCTTGAGTTTCCCTCCCACTCCTCCACTGACTCAGTGCTTGTCATTGGGCAAGTAACTCGGCTTCCTACTTCCCTTTCTTGCCTTGCAGGGCTATTGTGTGAATTAATTAGATAATGTTTCAGCATGGCTTTGAACTAGAGAGAGCTACAAAAGTGCCAAGTTATAATTCACTGTTATGAAAGTCAGCATGCTGGCTGGGAGCGAGACCTCTGATGCCAGCCCAGAAGAGAGGGACAGTGAAAGTGGCTGGGGGAAAGCTCCCCTCTTGCCTCCCGATCCCTCATCTCTATAGCTGCTGTCTGCACCACTCCAGGAATGCTCTGCTGAAGGCAGCACCAGCAGCTGCCTGGTGTGATCCCAGGGATGCAGCTCCTGGCTGAGCCAATCCAGCCCAGTTGCTGGGTTGAGGATGTTGCCTGCACCTCCCTGTCTGTTTTCAGGCTAATTTTGGTGTCTGAATGAGCAGAGGACTTGTCCTCTGGAAAATTATAGTGCTCCAAATCAGCAAAGCACTTAAGATTAACATTGATAGGCCTGAAGAGTGGCTTAAGGTTAAGTGTGCCATGGGGCTTGCTGGGTAAGATTAGCCTGGAGCAGATGTGTGTTTTGCTGATTCAGGCTTTCAAAATATTCAGGCCTTGATTCAGCAAGACACTCAAATGTGAGCAGTCTTGCTCAAAGCAGTGGAGATAACTGGCTGATCAAAGCTGGGTAGACAGATGGAGAAAGAACATTAAGGTATAAACCTTAATGCTAGTTTAGAAATTAGTTTGATTTGAGGAGCACATGTGCCTGTGCACAGACACAAACCGGCTTTCCACCTTTTGCCTGTGCTGTGGAGGGCATGCATGAAATAACATTTTCTCATGACCCAGTGGTGTCCAGACAGCTTCCCAAATACCAGCAGACCTATTTGAAAGCAATTCTGGTGAAATGCAACTACCTGTCCAAAACAGCACTCACTATTTTTTGAATCCTATTTTAATCCTTGAAGGTTTTTATTCCACTCATGCTGGCAGAAAGGCTCAGCCAGGGCACGGCTGCAGGGCAGAGGAGCTGGCAGCCACCCCAAGTGGTCAAGCATGTTGGCCCCTGCAGACCAGGGGTTGCTGCAGGGACATTTTAGGACATCACTGGGAAGGTCTCATGAGGCCTCATGGACATCGCCAACTGCTCCGTGCATCTATGGCAGCATCTCTTGAGGAGAATGCTCTTATGTTTTGGGAGAAATCCCACCCTAACTAAGCCCAGAGATGGGAAATCCAGCTGAGGGGCAGCAGTTGCCAGGGCGGTGCAGAGGGTTGCTTGGTGGCTGTATTACATGTTAATAGGATCACTATGGAGGTAACAGGATGCAGGAGTGTGCCTCAGTTTCCACAGGGCTGGGTAGGGGATGCAGGGCCTTTTGTAGCCTGAAAAGCCCTGAATTGATGCCTCCTGATGGGGTTGAGAAAGAGCTGTGGGTCACTGCTGGTGCTGGATGGGGACTCCCACTTGGCCCTCCCTCCATTCTGAGCCATGTTTGGGGCAGTGTCACATACCAGGGACAGACACATAGACAGAGATCAGAGGAAACAGTGCCCAAAGCTCAGAACTTTACTGCTTTTCTTGTGATTAAGAGACCAAAAATAAAACGACCTGCACTTCTATTCCCAGGCAGGCGAAAAGAATAATTACTTTACAGAGATGGAATTCCTTCCTATATTATAGCCATTAAAAGGAGTAAAATTTGAAATTTACTGTGGCATGGAACAAAAAGGTAGTGCAGTTGGAAATAATGAAATCCTTACTTGTCACTAATGGAAGAATTACTGTTGTTAAAAGACCCCATCATAAATAATTGAGAAACCAATTATACAGTCTTGTGACTAATTTATCCGGGAGCAATACAGACCATGTTTTGCCTTAGAATGCATGGCACACATTCTCCGCTATAGCTCGCTGCTGCTCTACAAAGATATAGTACAAAAACAAAACAAGAAGGAAAGAAACGAATGCACCCACTAATCCGGAAATACATTATCAGTAATAAGAAATGAGTGTCCTTATATTTTAATTTAAAGCAGCTTTGCTGATGTACGGACGGCTGAATTAACATGCCAGTTGGTCTGTGTGCTGTGAGGAAAGGCAAGGTTGGCACCTCCACAGACCCCGAGCCTCGGCGGGTGGGGGCCACTGCTCCTTCTGTTCGTGGTGTCCAACCTTGAGGGGCTGCATGCTGCCCCAGGGAAGGGGCCTGGGCTGGAGGTACAGCCCGGGCAGCGCTGTGGGCATTCCAACGCCGTCTTAGTGCAAAAATTCTTAAACAAAACAAGGTTTGGGTCTTGTGTAGCGAACCCCTGGGCTCCCCACAGCGCTGCCGGACGAGCCCGGGGCTTCCCCGCATGGGTTTTGCGATATGATGAAATGAACTCCACAAACGGGCTGTACCGGTGTGCAACAGATTCCCCTGGACACGTCCCCACCGGGCACATCCCGACACCGCTTTCGGTGTGGAACAGAGACCCTCCGGGCACATTCCGGGTCCGGGATGCAGGGTGTGTAGGGAAGCCCCCAGGCATATCCCTCGGTCCCGGGTTCTGTGTGTCCGGGATCCCCTCTCCTGCCTCCCTCATTCCGGTCCCGGACTCGGAGTGTCCCGGATCCCCTCTCATGGCACATCCCGATCCCGGTCCCGGTCCCGGTCCCGGTGTGTCCGGATCCCAGCTCCCGGCACATCCAGGTCCCGGCTGGCGCGGTGCCGGCGCGGGCCGCCAGGCGGCGCTGTGGGCGGGCGCGCGGCCCGTCTCGGCGCCGGCGCGCGGCGGGCGCCGCCCCCTGCTCGGGCGGCGGCGGCGGCGGCGCGCGCGGGGCGATGGCGGACAGCGCCAGCGAGAGCGACACCGACGGCGGCGGCGGCAGCGGCGGCACCGCGGGGCCGCTGTCGGGGGGCGGCCCGGGCGCGGGGCCCGGCTGCGGCGCGGCGGGCGGCAGCGGCGGCTCCTCGGGGGGCGGCAAGGCGGGCGGGATCGTGATCTCGCCGTTCCGGCTGGAGGAGCTGACGAACCGCCTGGCCTCGCTGCAGCAGGAGAACAAGGTGCTGAAGATCGAGCTGGAAACCTACAAGCTCAAGTGCAAGGCGCTGCAGGAGGAGAACCGCGACCTGCGCAAGGCCAGCGTCACCATCGTGAGTGCGGGCGGCGCCGCGCCGGGCCCGGCGGGCGGGGAGCGGGGGTGTCCCCGCCGCGGGGTGTCCGCGCAGGGCGGGCCCGGCCCCGGCCGCGGCCTCCCCGCCGGCCCCCCGGCTGCCTCCCGGCTCGCCGGTACTAGTCACCTCGGGTGGGCCCGGCTGTCACCGCGGCCCGGCCTAGGGTGCGGGGAACACGCACAGGTGGGGTCACCCCGCGCCCTTCGCGCCCCCCTCCCGGCACCGGGAGGGCACCGGCGGCGGAACCGGCGAGGAGCCGAGGCGGTTCCCCCGCCCGGACCCGCGTGGCCGTCCGGCTTCCCCGCGGGGAGGCCGCCTCGCCGGCCCGCCCTGCCCGGTGTCCGGGCGGCTGCGGCTCGGGGAGGGGCCGGGCAGGGGAAGGACGATGCTCCGTGTTGCCCTGAAGTTTCTCAGAGATTTCGTTGGAGTTTAAGTAATCTGCGGAGATTACGGATTATCTCTTCAGCCGTCACCTCTTCAGCCACTGTGGAGAATGGGCGAGCTGCAGGAATAGCTTCTTGGTCATGAGAAAGCGTCTGATTTGTTTGTAATGTTTTGTTAGCTGCGGTATTTCAAGTAATTTGAAAATAATTTAAATAAGACTCTTAAAAATAATGCGAGTAGAGCAGCACTCTGTCCCGGCAAGAGCTCAGCTCCTGGTTTATATGCACTGTGAGGATATTTGGAGTTTAACACTGTTTTATGTGATGCTGTTAGCCAGGAATCCTCAGTAAAGTGCATATCAAAATACTATGGAAATATTGTTCTGTTCTTCTCTATGAGCTTGGGAGCTGGGACTTTAAATAATTTAAATTAGCCACTGCTAATTCAGTGGCTAAAGGGATTGTTTAGGCATTGTAATGGTCCTGGCCTTCCTGCAGAGTAGGTAACTTGCTAAAGAGTGGTTAAAGGTAACTCTTGATACTGTCCCGACCATCCTTTCCAGTGTAGGTGGAGATGTTTTAGAAGAGACCAATCCCACCTGCGTGTGTGCACTCTCATCTCATCTGATTTTTCACAGGGGGTACTTCACTATGAGCATAATGTCTGTTTTATTGATACTCAGCTTTTTCATTGTCGATGCATCTAGCCAAGAAATGGAACTTGCCTAGGCATACCTCTCATCTGCTCCTAGTAGTAAGCATTCAATGTCTAGCAGGATGTGGGCCGGAAGAGAGCATGAAATACAATACAGAAGTAATTTATTCAAGGATGACAAATATAGTGCTAGTCGGGGAAATGTGTGCTTTGTTAATACTTTACGAGAAGAGAATGTGCCTTAATTAGGTAGCGGCAGAGTGCCTTCTAATGTTGAAAGGGGCTAAGACGCCTTGTCAGTCAGACATTTTCTCTCTGCCTGTTAAAAAGACACAGCATCTTTCTGAACCCCTGGTAGGTGTATTGTTTGTAAACAACTTGGAAAAAAATGCTTGTGTGCATTAAAGTTCTGGCACTGTCTTTAGGAACTGATCATCTTACATTTTCATCGGGTTTTAATTTATAAAAAGGAGTTTTTTTCCTTAAATTTGAAGCTCTGTTTTTGACATCTTGGATCAAGAGAGGAAAGATGTTAGTTTAATGGCAACCTGTAGACTGTCTGGACAACCGACATCTTTAGCTGATGCTCTGGCTTTGGTATGCTAAACTGTGTGCACAACTGAGCAAACCACTTCTAATTCAGCAAGTGGTGAAATAATGAATGCAAAACAGAAATTTTTTTCAGGCCACTGAGACCTTGTGCTGTGGTTTATATAGTCAATAATGTAAACACATTTGCAGTCTGAATACTTTGTTGTGTGGTTCTAGTATGCAGGTGACGGGAGATGAACTTTATTGGAATGTTGAAATATGTGTCATTTGCATACAAACGTCATAGGATTAGAAAATTTTCTGATTTTCTCCACTGTGATTCAAATTTGTCAATTTGCTCCTCTACCCACAAGCTCCAGCTCCTCACAGTGTTACTGTGCTGACAGACGGGCGCTGTGTATCTTTCCTGTTGTGGGCATTGTAATGACACAAATCAGCTTTGATTTTTATCAAGTGTTGAGGACAAGCTGTGAAGCACAAATGGAACTGACAGGTAGCCAAAATAGCAGGTGAATGACTAAACCTGTGTGCTGTAGGTGAAGGTGACTCCTTGAACCACACAGCTCTTCATCTGAAACCCTTTCACTGATCCTGTTTGAGCTTTTTTTGCAAGGCCACAGAGATTCTTTGCTTTCTGCAGCTCCCACCATTGTCTGTAATGATTTTGAATATTTTCCGTTTAAGGTATGACAGTTGAAGGGTGATGGTCTTCCACCTTCCTCTTGTGTCTGTGCTGGTGTAAGTGTTAATATGACATCTCTTTGTGTTTGCAGTATTGTTGGTGACTGCGTGGATACAGTCAGTTTAGGAATTACCTAAATTGTTTTCCACATAGGATCTTATTCTCTTCTTTGTATTCTCCTCTTGAAAATAAAGCGTTAATGAAGAATGCATTAAGTAGTTGCACTTGGAAAACTGGCTGAGAAAAGGTGTTGGCTTGGCAGGCTTGTATGCTCACTAACTTCGTATGTACTCTCATCTAAAACATGTGAAAACAAATGCTGCTTTCAGGCTGAAATTGGTAAAGCCAGCTTGGACTAAGTGTGTGCCCAAAAATATGTGTGAGCTGTACTCCTTCCAGTAGCCTGAAATGCAAATGAAGTTATGCTGTTGTTCATGTGCAAGACTGTGAAAGTAAGTAAATATATGTAATAACTTTATCTCACCTGCTATTATTGGTAATGCATGGTGAAAGAGGGAGCAAAGCAGGGTGAAAGCTGGGGATATTTCAGGTGTTCTCTGGCAGTGCAAGAGCATTACATCAGAAGATGCAGTTTTAGATCATATATTATGAAGAAATTACTAAGATCACTTGAGTCATTTGAAGAGAGGGTTAATTTATATGTATTTAGCAATCTCAGTTGTATGATCTCATGGTGTATTTCTGCAAGGTCTTTTTTAGGAAATGGAACGGCTGGTGCTTAGGTTGGGAAAAAACAGGCGCCTGAAGATCTGAGATGCTGTGTGTTTGAGATGAGAAGTAGTGAGTTTTGATTATAGTGCTGCACCACCAGAAGTGGATTTCCTGTGTGAATTTCCTTAGTTTTTTGGTGAAAAAGGTCTGCCAGAGAGATGTCATATTTAATGGGCTAAGCCTGGGACAGCACAACTTTTCTAGTTAAATAAGAGTACTTTCAAACCTGGGTGATGGGGTGACTGCTTTTCAAAAGAATGAATTGCTGTGTGTAACAAAAGCTGAAATACTTCAGTTGAATGTAGGTATGTCTTGGTCAGGAAGTTTCTTTTGAAGTTGGTAGAATTTGGATTTTTAGCTCCTTTTTTCCTACTCTTCGGTATTTAATGTAACCAAGCCATCCTATTTCAGTGAAACCTGTGTAACCTTTAGCTGATACTGGAAGGATTTTGGTTTTCTTTATTATTGTTTTGAACTGACAGGCCTCATACGAATGGAATACTTGTAAGAACAAGAAGAGTTTTAGTCCCCAGCTGCTACATAGTTTTATCTAGGACGTTAGATTTGGTAATTTAACTCATGTAAATTGGCCTACTATAGTCAGACATCTTCTGTGGAATTAGAAAATTAAAATAGAATAAGCCTTATTTCGTTATTTAGTTTTTTAACTGAGGTGAAGATAAGAGTATTTAAGAAGCATTAATTTAAAAATTTGCCCACTCCAAAATGCCTGCTGTAGCAGTTTTAATGCATTCTAACATTTTACAAGAACATTTCTCTTCAATTTTTCCCTGATTTTGCTTTGTAGGGATGAGAATTATCCTAGAAATCCTGATTTGTGGTGCTGTGTGGATCTCCAACAGGATCATCAATTTAGATGAGCCAGTCTGATCCGAAGTGCTGATGGCATATGCTGGCTTTTGTGAGCTTGCCATGAGTTTATCACTGTCTGGTAGTGCCTGCTTGCAGCACTTGCTGCCAGGGAACACTGGGACATGGGACTGCTGCAGTTTGGGAGAGGCAGTATTTTACTGTGAGGCCTCTGCTACCCTTGTTTCCGTAGCTAAACCTGCACTCTGCACCTTGGCTGCCAGCTTAACTCTTCTCATTCCCTGAGTGCTGGCAGAGGGCAGTTGCATTTCCTGTCTTTTCGGCCTCCTCTGTGATTCTGCAGAGCTATGTGAACAGCCTCCCACCTGTTGGGAGGAACAATAGAAAAAAAAGCCTTACTCAGCTCCTATTTCCTCACCCCCTACTTAAATCCTGAAGAAAGTTGTTGCTTTCAATAACAGCCATCTCTTGAAAGCAAACAGGCATCTGGGGCTTTCAGATCAGAAGGATCCTGTGTGCTGTTGTGACCTGTTACAGTTTTCCCAATAACAACCAGATTTGGATGCTGGAAATAATTATAATTTTTCATTTTATTTTCAATGAAGTGTGCAGAGGGATTTATGTGTGTGCGTGAGATCTGCTGTTGTGTGTCTTCATGGAAGATGTCAGCCTAGACACATAGTTTGGGAAAGTGAATGGGTGTACTGTATTGCCAAATATTTCCTGCAAAAATGCTTTTTTCTTTTCTGAAGTTTGCACCAGAATTTCAAGGCAGAACACCTGTTCCAGTACAGAATGTGTCTATTAATAGTAGGAAAAAAAGGGCAGGATAGTCTATCTGAACTGAAATAGGAACCTTTAAAAAGTGCTGATAAGGGCATGGGGATTAGTAAAAAAAATCAATTTGTAGCAGAGAGAGGTAAAAAGCAAACCAAGAAAGCAAAAATATTAATGTTTTGCAAAATGTATCTGTGAATCTGTTATTTACTCTTGATTTTAAAGTAGGTCTTGCTTGTGTGAAAAATAGGTGTAAGAAACCTGCTTAGCACTTTTGTATCCTGCTGTGTCATTTATCACTCAAGTTTTGCAGCTGAAAGTAGCTAAAAAGTAACATATTTTAGAAATGCTTTACTTTCCTGCCCTTTAGAGTAAAGATAACATAATTGCTCAGATTATCAAATTCATGCACCTTGAAAGTCCATCCGTAATTTTTCTGGCACATTCTTTCCAAGAGGTGGCATGAAGGAAATTACTGTCTTGTATTTCGTCTCACATTCACCTTCGATTCTCAAGAAATTTCTGTTCAACTTCTACAAATGTCTGTGAAGGAAAAAGGAAGTTTAGTAATGCCCTTTGGTGTTAGCTGCCTTGGCCCTTAGGATAGCATGGTCAGAGCAGTGCTGCTTTTGCTGCATGGCTGGTGAGCCAGTAGTAGGAAGGTGTAGTAGCATCTGCTTCCCTTTCGTAGTTACAGCCACTGATGTATCCAATTCCCAGGGAAAAACATCATCCATGTGCTATTAACACAGTGTCACTGGGATGTGTTGTAGGCCTTCTTGAATTCTGTTTAAAATACAAACAAAAACCACAGAAAAATAAATGTTTCTGAACTTAACTCAAATATTAATCAACAGGAATGCCTGTACTTTCAAGGAATTTGAGGCTTCAGAGGTTTAGTTAATCATCTGTTTTAATTTTTGTCACATGGTTTTGTGAATTGTTCCCACACTAAACCTTGTACCTAAGTTTGAAATGTGTCTTTGAGAGGGTATCCAGTTTTAATTTGAAGACTAGAAGATGAAGAATCACTGTGCTTGGACAAGTTTTGGTGTCCTGCGTCCAATCAGTTTCATCAAGGCTGAGCTGTTGGTTCCTGCTGTGCCTTTTGGCTGGGTTAATGAGTATTCTGGATCCTCTGCTTTCTCCTCATGAAGATACAGGCTGTAACAGGCAACTTTAGTTTACATTGACAAACTAAACTAAGCTCTCAGGCTCTGAGATGCTGAAATCCAAAGTGTTCAGTTAATATGATGCACTGGTCTAGTCTAAACATCCTTTCCTGCTTCAGATTTGCACAAGTGTTTCTGATAGCTTAATTTGGAACTTTACTTATTTTATATAATTTTTTTCATTCAGTGTGATCAGTTGTCTTTAATGAGTTTGCTGCTCTGTATTTTGGCTAATTTGGCAGAAATACAGTTGCACACCTTGTTCAGGTCGGATTTGTGTTGGGTTGTCCAGTAGCACTTCATTTGGTGCAGGGAATTAATTAATTGTGCAGGGAATATTTTAAACAACATCCTGCTTAGTACATGTTGATGAAATGGAATTTCCCACTGATGAGTATTTTTGAGGTCGGTAAGCCACCTAGGAAATCCTGGTGTATACTTTACAAGCATTTTAAAGTAATGTTTGGCACATACTACTAAATGAAGAACTCATATGGGTGCCTTATACACACCCTACACCTTTGTGGTTATCTTTATTACAAATAGTCCTTGGCTGAAAGATTAATCTTTTCTTATCTACCACAGCTTGTTCTCTATAAAACCATGCTGAATGACCTGTTTAATGTTTCTGTCCTTTATACAGTAAATTAATTTGTTTGCAGTATTGCCATTGGGTTGATACCAAACTCTGATAACCAGCTAGTTCTGCTCGCCTTTAAATATTATTCAACAACTATACTTTTTTATAAGTTACTTTATGTGACATTCCCATATTTAATAATGGTGGAATGTCTTTAGTCAGTAGGCATACTGGTATGTTGCTCTGAATTATTTTGGGGATGAAAGTGAAATAAGAACTGAAATTGTAGAGTACTTTTGGGAATTTTTAATAAGGGAAAGTTCTTGGTATTTCTGTGAGCTTGCTGTTCTCCATAGAAAGTAATTTTGCTTCTTAAATGAACTTTCTTATTGAGGTTGTGTCATGAATTCTCTGTCCGAACTGGTTTGTAATCAGCTTTTATTTTAAGAATGCTCTTTATTGTCAGGTTTGAACATTTACTGAGACTAAGGCCTTCTTCTTGTATCTCCAGTGACTTAAAAGCATTTTGAAGGAGAGGTTGTTTTGGTTTTTACTGCATTTTACACCTAACAAAAGGTTTGCTTTCAATTGAAGAAAAAAGTCATATATGCTCCTGATGTATATCTGCCAGACATTTTTAACTTTCTTTGTAGTCACTTGCCCAGATGACTGTTGAGTTTTGCATTATTCACGTCAGCTGATTTAGCAATCAGTATTGAGGTTTTTGGTGCTTCTAGTGCTGTTGCTGATCCCAGTATTAGAAAGCTAGTATAGACAGGACTTTAGAATAGTTAGCAAATCCTGGAAGTTCTGTACTTCATTTTGGTTGTGGTTTTGACTTTAATGGAGGTTGAATTTTAATACTGATTTCAAAGGATGAAGGAAAATTATTTCACTTTTTTAATCTTTCTTTTTCCAGGGTAGGTACATGGTCGCCTGCGGTTTTCTTGCACTTGTTAATTTTGTTTACTTGTTCTTATTGCTTATTTCCTCCTACTGCCTATACTGACTTTAATGTTGAAGCTATTGTTTTCCAAGTTCTTGGTTTTAAGTGTTAATATACCTAGGGTGTATTTTCAGCTGCAGACTCTCTGTGCTAAAGCTCCTTGTAGTAATTGATCAGATAATACTGATCTGTGGTGAGCAAGCTTATGTATCTGCTGGAGACTTCACAAAAGGTTTTCTTTCATTCCACCTCATAAAGCATGCTTGGATGGGATTCCAGGTGGGGACTGGAAGCATTGGAAGCCATTGAATTGATGACTGTGGCAGCTGCAAACAAGATGATCAGGCAGCTGGACTTGTGGGGTGCTCCAGGAGAATGGAATGCCAGTGTCTCACAAACAGACCTTGAAATGTGATTGAAATTAAGAAATGAGACAGTGCTGTCCTTCACAGGAATGAAAATTGTCAGCAGTAGATATCTGATGTATCTCAGCATAGCCTTGTAAAAAACAGTGAAAGAAACAGTTGCTTTGCTGCTCTTTTTTGGGCTGAGGTGGGGAGGTAAGAGGAAGCTGCCAAATTTAGCAGGAGAGCAAGAGGTGAATCCTTTCTCTCTTCCTCTTAAAGAAAAAAAATCCCATAAAATGAAGGAGGAGAATAGGCTCAAAATGTACAAATTAAATTATGCACAGGATTTGAGATTCAAACAGAATGAATAGAAAAGAAACAGAGACATGCCTTAAAAGAGAGGCAAAAAAAATACAATATAAAGCGAGCTCCCCTGGATGTGTAACAGAAAACAATCTTGTGATGTCTTGCTTCCAATGCAGCAGCCTGGGGATGTCCAGAAGGGAACATCTCCAGTTCCTCTTCTTCAGTCAGGTCCTTCTGTCTGACTGAAGATGTGTCTTGACCTTTAATTCGGTATTCTGTTAGTGTCCCATTTCAATGTATGGGATGGAGAACAAAGTAAAAATGATGGCAAGACAGTTGAGGTGAAGTATTCCACAGTAAAAATGTGTCTTAAGTAGGGAACTCCAAGTTACAGATGTGCAGGTTTCACATCTCTTTCTGTGGGGTGCAAGGGTTACTTGAGAAAAGGTGAAGCAATTTTTACAGAAATATTGAAGCAGTTTCTAATCCTTGCACTTGAGTTGTAGTTATTTCAACTGTTCAGGTGAAATAGAAGCATTGTAGGCTAATTGGTGTCTATGGGGAGGGACAATCCTTTCAGCTACTGAGAGTCCTCTATCCCTTTGTACATTCCCTTGCAACAGTTTTTTTCCTGGAAAATAAGTATTTCCTGAGCTGATGGTCTAACTGATGGTGAAACTCTTCAGATAAGGCTTCTCTTCCTCTCTCAGCTCTGAATTTTACTTAATTTGAAATTTCTAATATTACATACAATCTGGTCTCAGTTTGGGGAGGACTTAGTGAGGTGGATGAGCATCTGTTCAGCCCTGCTGTAGATGGAAAGAGCCTAGCAGTGTTTCAGCTGTCTGTAAAGTTTCCTCGGATGCTTTTAATTCTTTAAACTGTCTAAAACGTGATGATTCTGTTACTACTGTAAAGCTAAGGCCTTTTTAGTTCGCTTGGTGGTGGTGGTGCTAATCATATTTAAAACTCCTACCACGTGTATAAATAATTCCCACAATGAAATGCTTTGGTCCTGAGTGAAAGTATAAATGTTTCTGAACAAGTCAGACATGATAAAACTCAGCAATGTTTAGCATGCTACAGTATAAAGTTATGCTTCTTTCTGTAACTTACATTTTAATTTCTACTTTCACCAGGTGGTGGGATTTCTACTTTGTTTTACTTCATTTTCAAATAAACAGCAAAAGCCACTACTATGAAATTTGCAAAATGTAGAGTTTTAACCACCACTTTTGTAAGAGCTTTAAAGGGTATGTGTTTTTCACATCTGTTAAAAATGAACAGTAGATATTTTACTGTGGCTAGTGTTGTCAGGAATTATTAGGTAGGCAAAACCTCTGTCCTCACAGGCCCTGGAATCCTGATTGGGTCAAGAAGAGGGGCACTCCCAAAGTCCATTTCAGAGAGTAAATTTAACCTGAAATCTAGATCTGCAAAAAATCCCTTTTCTCTGAATATTGGTATATGTAACTGGAACGTCCTTGCTCTGTGAACGGAAAGGTGGGTAGGCATTTCCTAAAACTTCCTCTCTGTTAGACCTACTTCTCCAGTTCTGTATGGGATGAATATTCAACCCCACATCTACAAATGTCTGTTTGTAGGGGCCAGAGACAGAGAGTACAAAGGCAAAGGATGTATTTTTTTCATACTCTTCTTCATATTTTCATACACTACATTGATATACTTGTTTCTTGCCTTGAAAATCTGGAAAGAGATTGCTCTTTGGAATACTGTGATAGGTACTATAAGGCATCCAAATTGTAGAGAAGGAAAAAAAAAGCCTACAAAAGACTACTCACTGACTCCTAGGAGGGGTAAATAGAAACATTTCTTTTTCTGTAACAGAGCTCAAGCTAATGTCCCTTAACAGTGAGTTGGACAGTGTTGTGTTCACTTTGTGAATATGTTAGTTGGTTTAGGAAAAAGTATGGTTATAATTAATAACAAGTTTCATCTTCAGCTCTTGTTAATCACTGTGAAAGTGTTTCTCTGGAAAGTCAGTGTGTGTAAGAGGAAACTGGAGGAAATTTTAACCCTCTTAAGAGGTTATTTGTGTTGAGTGGCTACGGACACCTTGCTACTGTGGGGAAAAACACTGCTATCCCTAATGATTACCTAAGCTGTGTTTAAATTTGTCATATAAAACCAACAAACAAAAACCCAACAGCAAATCCCATTTCTTGCCTCCCCACCACCAAATAAAAAGGGTTTAAGGGTTTTAAAGAAAATTAGGAAATGATGTGGTGAGCATCTACTGTTTGAAAACCCCATAAATGGATCTTTATCTGGTGGTCTTTAATCCCTAGTTTTAAAAAATTTAAAGGAGGATAGGTTGATTGATGTAGATATACCAGAGGTTATACACACTTGAAACAAGGATCTACAAGTGCTGAAAGCCACTTTTACCTAGAAGGGAAGGACGATGAATACACAGGTAGCTGGTGCTCAAGACCCAGTCGAAGTGAGAAGATTTGCAGTCTTTTGCCTGGGAACAGGGACAGTTGCTGCTAATACCTGTGGTATGCTGGTAGCACTGCATGGCCCATGCCATGCAGCAGCAGTGGTCTGGCACCTGCTGCCGTGAAAAACTGGGTATAACAGAATTACACTTCAACTCTTATTATGTAGTCCGATGAAGAAAAACATGTTTTTCGTGTTTACATGCTTGCAGTGAGTTACCCAGACTGCATGAAATAAAGTAGGATTTTTGTGAAAGTTATTTGCAGGGGGTAACTTTTAAATCTCTGTTCACTGCTTTCATTTGTTCCCTTTTGCCTTGGAGCAGAGAAGCAGTTGTGGCTGCAGAGCTACTTGTAACGGGAGTTTGCTGTGGTTGCATTTTGAGCAGAAGTTTGTTATGCCTGTTAGCACCCACATACCTCTGAACAGAAGCTGGGTATTAAGTTACTCACCTAATAGTCTACTCTTCTGCTAAATCTTTTGCTATTCCTGCTCTGAATTTTTGGGAGTGTGCAGTTTTGAGTTTCCTAATTGGTCAGTGCAGCAAAGTGAACTAGTTAATGTGTGGTTACATTGAAGATAAATGTTGATTTATCAGTGGGCAGAAAATAAACTAAAAACCATTTGAAATATGTTAATTAAGGAAGTCTTTATGCATTAGATATCTGATATCAGAATTATTTCTACTGGGGTACTAAATTCCTTGTAGGTTCTAGTACTAATGGTGGTGTTGCTTACAATTGTTATTAGTTTCTAAGTAGCATGACAACCAGATTTTGTTGAATTTGAATACTGTAGATGCAGGTCGAACAAACGACATTTTAAAATGGATGGTTATTATAATGATCACACAGGCATTGGAAAATTATTAACACACACCACCTCCAACAAAACAGTATATGCTATGAGATTAGCTATGAACAATAAGATGTTTTTTATATCTTTCATGTTGACAGGTCTGTGCATTTGAAAATTTAGACAAACTGAACATAAAACTACACATCCTTTTATGTGTACTTGTGCATCTTTATCATGTTTTTCAGCATTTTTTATATTGAGGCTGAGCAAAAGCAAAATCTGTTCCACGTGCTTCTGTTTTCCATTTGTTTTACACTATTGATTAACTAGCAAACTATTTCCAGTACAAAAAATCCAGTAGTAAAACAGCAGTGCAACTAGAAATAAAAGAGTAAAGCAAAAATTTCTTTCTAGTAGTCATCAGTAAAGGGTTAATAGAGAGAGATGTTTCAAACTTTGGTTCAGTTTGATATGACAGTGTCACTGTATTTTCCATATTGGCTGTCTTTGTCAATGTAAATCTTTGGGTACAAACTAGCAAAGATGGGGAAGTTTCTGGCAAAACTCATCGTCTTCTGGAGATGTGTTGCTGAAGCTTTATGCTGGGAATGGTCCCTTGCCTGTGCTGGGCTGATGGGGAAGTTGTCTCACAAGGCCCCATTCTTGGTGTCTTCCTGGCCATGTTTGCCTGTGCAGTCATTACAGCCCTTCTGAGGAATATTTAATGTGCCTTTTGAAGCAGTGGTTGCTTGTATGCAGTGAACTTGAGGACTTAGGGGCAGTGGGTTTGTTTGTGCTTGTATATGTTATACTTACTTTACACATGCACTAGAAATCAGTGCTGCTGAAAATGCAGCAAGTGTAGGAAATGTGTGGTGCCTGTGCAGCCATGGGACACAGGAAGGACCTCGTGAAATAGAGCCATTTGGAAAGGTGTGCAGGCTAGATTTAATTTTCCTGCTGGGTCATTCCTGTCTTGGCCTGTGACTTCTGTTGGCTCAGGTTACAGCTCTTGTTTGCTGGAAGCAGAGACTCCAGCCCTGATAACAGTCTGGGAGCTTGTTCTACATGATGATGTTTAAGTGCATGAAAAATAAGAGCTATAAAGCATGTGTCTAATGAATAGTCAGATTTTTAAGGTTGCCATGTTGAGTGTTCAGAATAGGAAGTGTTTAATGTGTGCTTGTACAACCCTGCTACTTTTTCCTTTATGGTGCTTTATTACCATATCATCTTTAGTTACATTAGGACTTACATAGTGTGGTCATGGTTAAACAGCTGAGTAAAAGTTATTGATACATTTTTCTAGGCCCTCTCTTGACATTTTGTCGGACACAAAAAACGTGGCTTTTTCACATTTATTTATTATTAACTACATTTTTATTAACTACTTAATGCCAATATTTTGATATAATAAAAACCTTCAAAGGGAGTAAGCTATATTATTTTTCTGTTTTGAAGAAAGCTGTTTAAATATTTTTTCAATTATATAAGTAAATTCAGGAATTGATTGTGTTAATTATGAAATTCATATAGCTTGTTACACCTCAGTTGTAATTAGCCAAATGCATTCATTTTATAAACATTTATGCTTGTCAAATGAGGTTGTTTTCATAACTTGCTTATTTCATTTTTACCACTTGTGTGTTTCAGTTGTGCAAGACTTTCACGTCAACATCAAAATGGAGAGAAAGAAGTGTGTTCAATGGGATTGCATACCATCAAACAATTTGCTTCATTGCTGATGCTAAGAGATTATTTAGCATGAAGGAATACCAGTCACTTTTATGTTTAGGAAACTGGTCAATTCTGAGGGCTTTTCTCAAGTGCTCTTCCCAAACCACAAGATGTATGCACCTGAGTTTTTGAGAGAAGGTCCCACAAGCTTGCATGAGTGATGTTGAGCTGAAAACACTTGACTGTGGATAAAAGTGACTTGGGAGAAAAATGTATTTCTTGTGTTGTTTGAGTCAGCTCATTTATCTAGTCAGTCTGCATCCATTGTGGATTTATGTGGTCATATGTTAGATCACTTGTAGGCATTGAGGGAAGAACTTGCTGTGCCTGGAGCTGGTGGCAGGAGTGCTGTGACAGAGGTGTTTTGACATGTCTGGCTAAAACCTAAATGACCTTTTAAAAAGGAGGGAGGTGGGAGATGAAGGGGACAGAGAATTTCCACCTATAAATGGAGATTAAAAGGAACCGTATTTTATTACTTTAAATGGTAGCTTTTCATAAAGGTATTCCTTTATTATTAGAGTAATAAATTGTGTTATGATAATAACAAACAGATCTTTTCTGTCTCTTGCAGCAGAACTAATCTACTGAATAGCTGTAATATAATAGGACTTGTTCTTTGAAGCAATTCTGCTTCAGTGGCTTTAATGTTACACAACAGGTAATGTTTAGAGTAGTTGAAGTTCTCAGGATGAGTTTCAATAATGAATTTCTTTCTTCCTTAGTGTATTTGGAAAATAACTTTTGGTAAGCCTTTAAGTTCGTTATGTTTCTGAGGGGGGTGGAGGGTGGTATTTTTTATTAGTTTATTTGTTTTTAGAAGCCATCCAACCAAAAAGATGCTTTCCTTCTACACTGCCAGGTCTGTGTTTAAAAGAAAAAAAAAATCAGCTCAACAGCTTAGGGTCCTGCAGAAACTATTCAAAGGTGTTAGTGCTTGTTTGGGGCCTCTAGGAGATACTGTATGTCCAAAGACAAAAATTCATTGTTCTTTCTATTGCTCTCCTGAAAACTCATCCTAAAGAAGGGAAAAGACAAAAAGGCAGTTTTATGTCAGAACAGAGGAAATTACCCTGGGAATTTATCACAGATTAGATGGGAAATCATACTACAAATTGAACTTGATTTCCAGCTCAGCACTTCAACCACAAGAGCATTTGCTCTTTTCTTTCAGGCAGGCCACCCAGCTGAAATACCTTTCTTTGGATGGGGAGAAAGCTGTGCCCACATCATTACTGGAACTTGGGTGGGAATTCCTTGTCTTTCAGCCCTTACAGCCAGGAATGTGCTGCTGGGCAGTCGCTGAAGTTTGCAGCAGTGGGAGTTCTCTGACTTCTGTTCTTGTGGTGGTTCATGTTTTTCCTTGTCTGTAAGGCACATTGCATGCACTGTGGTCATTTCAGATGCAGCTGGAAGGTTTGTAGGAAAAAAATAGCTGCACTGTAGAAGTTTCTCCTGTAAGGGAACAGTATCAGTGTAACATGTGCAGCAACTGAGATCATCTCTTCCCGAAGCTCTCCTAACCCTTCAGTCTATATTCAGTAGCAAAGATTGAGTTTCTTGTGTCAGATTCAACTGCTCTTCAGCTCCATCTACAGGGTTACATTGTCCACAGGGCCCTGTCAGCAAAAGAGGTCATGGTGGCTCTTGACATAAAGAGAAAAGACCTTCAAGGGTGGATTAGATCAAAACAATGCTTGTTATGCTGTTTCCAGCAAGATCCTATGAAATCTTGTGTGACCTCTACTCTGGATGCTGCTGGAGACAGGTGATGCGGGCTGGGCATGCTTGGTATCTGCCTTGCAGGTGGTTGACTGTAGGTGCCTGGAACAGTTTATGAAATGTTTACTATGGAAATTGTCTGAAATGATACCTAACACTAAAATGCAAGAACATGTTCATGTCAGGTCACTGATAATGTGCTGATACTGACTGCAGAGTAGGTGTTAATTGGGTTGCTGAACTGGCTTGCTGTGCAGTGTCAGGAAGGCTTGTGAGGATTTTAGAAGAGCTAGTTGTGGGAAGGGATTTTTTAAGGTTTTTTTGTTATAGTTTATTTTTTTATGTGGCTATGTTTAAGCTGATGCCTCATCAGAAATATTGGATTTTGCTGCTTCATATAATGCAGTGCCACTAGAGCAGTATGGTCAGTGTATGGTGCAGTGATATAGAAAAAGAGCATCAGAAGAGAAACAGAAGCTGCTGCTTGTGTACAAAGAGAACAGAGGGAAATACAGCAGTATGAACCTGGTCTGCTAAAGGTGTAGTCACAAGAAGAACTGAGAGAAGGCAAATATTTTAATGGCAAACCTTCCAGTTTATGGTAGTAGATTCCGTACGTGGAAAAGGAACTTCAGTACAGCTCGCTTTCTAATATGATACTTGGTTACTACGTAAAGTTTAGGAAAATATGTTTCTTAGTTCTTTTAAAATTACTTGGAATTTAAGCTCACAAGGACAGATTTTTATACTTCATCAGCTGTACTAGTGATCAGGGTTTCACAAGCTTCTGCAATAAAAATAATAGGATTTTTCTTTCTCAGAAATGTAAGAGGTTTTTTGTGGTTTTTATGCATGAGGTGCTTTTTATCTCACTCTTTATTCTTGATTTCCTGTGAACTAACATGATAGCCCTTGTATTTATGGTCTTGGCCACAATAATTAGAGATTTTCCTTAGTGGATGCATCCATGGAATGCTCCAAGTTAGCTGTGCATGGAGTTTTGAGACATGGGAGACAGGTGGATATCTCTGTTGTTATGCAGAAAATCTCTGGTGAAAGTAGATTGATTGCTTGTTTCAGGTTTCCAGAGATTGACTGATCAGGTGTTATCATTTTTGTATCACTCAGCGATTTATTTTGTAGTATGGTTCACAGAAGAGAGTAAATGGCTGTTAGTATTTTTGCATGTTGAGTGTGATATGGATAATAGAGGAAAACCAAGAGCTCTATACCCTTGTGGAAGACCTAACGTTTCTGATTTCTGTATTCTGTTTCTCTTTTTTTTTGCTGATGGTATCAAGCCTCTTTTCAAATACAGATACCTAATAGAAAAACAAGTTATCCCTTTGGAAAAACAGTGTATTCATATCTGGAAAAATCAGTTTGATTATTGGCTAAATGAATAACAGATTGCAAGATTTTAGGCGATATTAAGGTAAACATCCTATTACTTGAGATAATTTAACTATCACCAATTAATGAGTAACAGGATAAAGAGCAAGTTTCAATATGAAATATTGAATAAATTGTTTCTTCAATAAGAAGAAATATGGTAATGAATTATGTGCTTTTTACCTAGTCTAAATAACCGTCTGATGCTTTTCAGCTAAAGTGTTTGTGTTAAAAGTGCTGACCCTTGGGTAGTTAAATGGACATTCATGATATTCAGTGTACTGTGTGGATATCTGGGACTTGGTTTGTATGTAGATGTGTAGGGTTGCTGCTGTTCAGTTGAGAAATGTATTCTTTGTGTAAGGGAGGAAGATTTAATCCTGCCCATCCTTTCCTGTGGCCACCTGTGTGCTGACTGGGGTCCTGCATGCTGTGGGCAGTTCTTGAACAGGTACGAACTGGAGCTGCTCACTCCTGTTCCTGCGTGCCAGCACGCTGCTTGTGTGGCACGCCAGCTGGGGAAGCAGATGCAGGAAAGGAAAATGGGAGGAGGAAGGGAAAGGCTTCATTTCTGGGTGTCTCCTCAGCCTGTGCTGGCCTGCTGCCTGGCCTCATGAGCTCCTGTGTGGGCACAAAGGAGAGGCATTGGCCGGGACAGGGATCTTGGCAGCCTGAACTCCTGTTGGCCTGAGCACCATCATTAATGTGACACCAGGATCTGGCAAACAGTGTTGTGCAGGCTCGGTGCTATAATAACGTGATTTTAGAGCTTTTGACTAGTGCAAAGCATGAGCAGAACAAATCTGTGCAAGTTACAGATGAATAGAAATCAAAGCAGAAACACCCTCATTCTTTTGTTTTTCAGAACCAAGTGTTTTCTGATTTAATTTTAGGTAAGCTTGATCTGTGTTACTGTCTTCAATTGTCTGAACCACTGAAAAACAGACACAAGCAGAAATCCTATGTAGTGAAGGCAGTGGAGGAGTTGATTTTTTGGAACAGTATGCATGAATTTTAATGATTTGAGCACAATGAGCCCTTGCAATTTGACTTGTTTACTCTGTTCTGGAACGTCTCTGAAGACATAAGATGGTTAGTAGCTCTAGGTAAGGCCACGTTTAGAAGCTGATAGATGATGTTGTTCAGATCAGTTAGATTTTAGGAATTTTAATCCGTTGAGATGTGAGCTGACAATGTAGCATTTCTTCAGACCTCTTGGACAACTCTATTTTCTTGATGTGACAGGTATAATACCCCTGCTGAACATGCTGGAGTAGCTGTTCTCTGCTATGGAGATACAAATACATTAGAGGAAGTGTTGTGCAGGACCTAAGCTGCTAAACCAGCAAACTGCCTGACCTAGCTTTTTATTTTATTTTCTTTCTTTTTTTTTTGTTTTTTTCATGTTGGGTTTTTCCCAGCTCTGGTGGTGACAGGGAGAAGGGAGCTGGTGGCAGATAAATAGTAGGAAAGGGCCATGAAAAGAAAGCAGTAGATATGGAACAAGGCAGAAGAAAACAAAGATGTGAAGATGGAAGGAGGACTCAACTGAGAAGTTTCCATACTACTGCTTTAGATTTTATGATACTGGTGATACTATGAGGAAAATTTATAATTGTTCTATTGTTTCACCAAAATGAAAGACAGTTATGTTCTTTAATTAATTTTTCTCCCAGACATTGAAGGTGTCTAAGTAATTGGCTCTTGGACCACTAGGGAATGCATCATTCCAGTTAAAAGATCACTGGTGTAATTAAATCTTTCAAGCATTTTCCAGTTTACAAGAAGCATAAAGAGATTGTTATTTTGGCATATTTTGGGCAGAAGATTATGGAAAGTAAGCTTTCAGTTCTTAAATTTTCCTCTAAGTTTACTGAAATAAAGTTTGCAGAATATTTGTATAAGCTATAAGCTGGTGTAATTTTATTAGAATCAGGGCCAATCACATATGTGCAGTTCAAGTCATGGATTTTATTGCAGGGAATAAAACTGCTCCTAACACTATCTTGCCTCATTGGTTAAATGCAGTATTTCTGTCATTCAGTTCTAGGCTTTGAACTGTGACATTAAGAGTTGACTCTACCAATTTGTAGCTGTGATCATTTGCCCATATGAAATATCCTTCATGGTCTTTCAAAGCAGGCTTTCAAAAGATCACTTTTATGTTCCATTTATCAACTTTATGCTTAAAAAACATACAGACATCTGAACTGTAGGGAATGCAAGAGAGCAGTGTCCCAGGCTGGTTTTCTGTGGAGCTGTGCAGGGTGCTAGCAGTAAGCTGAAATGGAAATTATCACCTCTAGTAATTCTGCATAGGGAAGATTTCCAGTGTAGCTTGTGTAAAGCTACCCCATGGCATTTTTGTGAGTTGCTGTTGTATGTAGTGGAGTAGCAGTTGTGAGGAGTACCATACCTGTTTTCCTGGTGGTGTGGTAGGAATTCTTGTGAAAGAAGCTCTATTGCCTGCAGCTCCTCATACTGGGGTGAAAGAAGAGGACGACTCCTGGAAAGCAGAGCTCAGTCTAATGGATCTGAAAAGGAGGCACAGTGGTGCATGCAGCAGTCTGAGCTGTGCTTTAGCTCGTAATGGAGAACGTTTAGACAGGAATTCCGTTTCAGGCATAGAGTAGGTAAAAATAGGTGTCTGAATCTGTAATGCTTTTACAAAATTTGTAAGGTTGGGGAGTTTGTGCATTTGGTTGGAAGGAGGCTACTTTAAAGCCCCAGTGCAGCTTCTCAAGTTAAAAGTTTGAAAAAATAAAAGAGGTGCTATAATGTTATAAAAGGGGTCGGTAACAGCACTTAGGTCCAGCCTGCAGGCCTCCAGGATGATAGGCATTTAAAGGGGAATGGAATAATTGCAGGTTTTTTGACAGGAAACTTGCTCATTTTTTCTCAAAACTATGTCTTTGTTTCACAGCAAGCAAGGGCAGAGCAAGAAGAGGAATTCATCAGTAATACTCTATTTAAGAAGATTCAAGCTCTGCAGAAAGAAAAAGAAACACTTGCAGTAAACTATGAAAAGGAAGAGGAATTTCTCACTAACGAGCTCTCAAGAAAACTGATGCAGGTAATTGGTGCCCTTACTGATGTTTCTCCCAAGCCTCAGGACTGACTGGTGACTGAACTGTAGTGTTCGGTGACTGAACTCTGAGGGAAGTGGTCAGGTTGGAAAACTGACACTTGATAAAAGCAAAGTACAAGAAGCGTAGTGAGTGACTTTTTTTTTTTTTTTTTTACATGTTGCTTTAAAGTTTGCATCTGTGAACTCAGCTTTGAGAACCTGAAAGTTTGTATACTGATGCAAAAAATGGGGGTAGCTTGCCGTAAATATCAACTGTCTTCCAGACAAGTGTTATTGATTAATTAAAAATGTTAGTGAAACATGCTTTCTTTTCTGGAGTATTTGATAATTAACACGCATCTTGAAATATTAAACTTTATATACAAGAATATGCAGTGATGCTCAAAGGAAACTTTTTCTGTAAGTTTGTCCATACTTGTAACAAACCGTCATTTCTGTTGAAGTAAAACACATCAGTTAGATGGTAAAAGTAAAAAGTTGAAGAGGCTGGGACTATTTGTGGCAGAGAAACTTCTGTCCATTACCCAAGTTACTGATTTTTAGAAAGTGGTTAAGTATTTGTTGAAAGTGTTCTACATGGTTGTTCTGTTCTCACAGTCTTGCCTAAATACCTGCTTTTGGCTCCTGTAGGAGACAGGGTACTAAGTTAGGGGAGTGTTTAATGTGATCTGCCTTTTTTCATGCCATTAGTTCTAAGCTTTGTCATGAAAAACGAAGCACTTTAAAAGAAGCTAATTTGTATGTTGTAAGCATTGCTGTGTTCTGCAGCTGGAGACTGAAGGCATGTTTCGCCCTGCAGTTAGGAAATAGTGTTTGGAAACACCACTAGAGCTAATCCCATCTGGCGCTTTTGTTACTGAAAACTGGGCCTTCTCTCACTTTGTCTCTTTGGTGCCTGTTATCACACAGGAAACTCAGTAACAAGATAAAATATCCCTTACTTTCTATTACTATTTCCCCTTGCAGTTCTTGAGGACTGACAAGAACTTTTCTGAGTAAGAGACATGTTTGGTTTCTAAGCCATACATTTTCATTAAAAACAGAGAAGCAGATGGCGGTAGAATACGAGTATCAACTGTTCTTTTCTAATTGAAGTAAGATGTTGATATCACTGTAGAAAAAGCTTTCCACTGAAGTCTCTTGCAGTGAAGGGAGAAATGGTGCTTTGAACAGTGTTGTTTAATTGAAAGGGGGATGTAGAAATCTGTTACAGAAGTAGGTTACATGGGACTGTACTATACGTTATAAAGGGGAAACTAAAATTTACTTTAAAAGTAAAAACATGGATTACCTGATTTGTTTGAAGGGTTTTGAAATCATATAATGACCTTGCACACAGGTTTGTGCCACAAAGTTCTGCAGCAAGTAAATTGTTGTATCAAGTAATTACTTAAAATATGCCTGGCCTCCCTAGAATTCAAGAGATTGTTTTAACAGGTTTTTTTGAACTATCTTTAGCATTCTTAAGTTGCTAAAATTTTACAGATTGGGTTCACACATTGCAAAGAGAAATATAAACTTCTTGTTAAGCAAAAAGTAAAATTATTTTTCTTGTTCTTTGCTATGGACTTTCAGAAATTATCCTTTGACTGTTGCCCCAAATTAAAGAAAAAGGTAACACTCTACTGTTCTCAAAATAGCCAAGGGGGTGCTTGGCTAGTTGTTATGTATGAAAAAAATGCAGGGATGTTGTGCTGTTTGTCTGTTGGAAACCGTTAATTGGTGCAACTTCATTCTCATTGGTGAGAGAAAGATACAGAGAGGAATCTGAAACAGAATGCAGACATAAACCTGGAGTTGTTCTCATCTTTAATACACCATCTGGAGAAAATCCTCAGTTGTGGATTCAACATCATCCCATAAATGTTATCCAGCTTTCAGCAGGCAAGCTGCAGGCTTCTGCTGAAAGAAAAAGCTTCATAGCCATAACTACAAGAGTTTGGAGGTAAAATTCTGACCACCACCTGCAGCCTTAGATTTCATTCCATGTGGCCTTGCTATTAGCCTCATTTAGCCTTGGATAAACATGGTTATGTCAAGCAGAAGATTTTAAAATATGGCAATTTATAAATGCACCTGTGTTCCAGATTGTTCGTCCTGAAGCTGTGTAATTTCTCTTAGCACCATTAGGTAGCAATTTTTGAAAGTAAATTGTGAGTTTGTCCTCTCTGACTAGTAACCCAGGTAACTTGAAAAAGAGAACAGCTGTCAACATCCTGGTGGTGGTGTTGGTTGTTTGCCTTTGTGAAGAGTGAGTGGCATGGAATTTCTTGCTTAGAGGTTCACCTGAAAACTTCAGTGCACAGAGGAGATAAGGATTATATCAATGCTCCTCCACAAAGCCACAGCTGAAACTTTTGTGGCTTGTGCATAGGCACCAATGGTGTTTCTGTTTATGGCATATGCTTCAAATGTTATTATCCCTTCCCTTACACTGGTCAGCAGGTTCTGTTTTCTATACTTCTAGATTACTTTTCATACCTTTACAGTGGCTCAAGACTTGCAGTGCAGGTGGAGGACTTGTTTTAAAGCAAACAGTTTAATATTAAAACTATTTTTTCTGTTTGTGTGTATGCTGAATGCAGATCTCATTTCATGGCTTGATTATGTCTTTGATGTGATAAAATTGCTGTGAAATACAAAACTGGAATATTGATATATTCTCCTAAGTAATGTGGTTGGCAGCTTATAAATGATACAGAAGAAATGGTCCCTTCCACTAAAGAGCTTACCTGTAGAATTAGGGAACATTTATATATTAACATATGTTCCCACGAAAGTAATTTTTCATCTCTTCAGAGAACATGGACTTAGTAAATTGACACTAGAATACTGATGAGTTGCAAGCAGTTTTTTTAAGCAGCAAAAAACTGAAAATAGTACCTGGTGGTTTTTGTTTTCTGAAAGTTTATCTGTTTTCTGAAGGTTTTGATTCTTCAGTGATGAATCCTGGAAATTATATCCATGTAAACCTACAGATTAAAAATTGGAGAAGAGAAATTCCTGATATTACAAACTCACTCATTTTTTAGAAAAGAGAGCATTATTGGTACACATTACATGGTCAGTTTAGAGTTTATTACACTATCTTTTCTGTAATTGGATAGTCTTCCCATTATACAGATGTAGGACTACATTCCTGGCTAATGTTTTTTAGATAAGGAAGGTAAGATAATTTCCTTTTTTTAAAATTTCCTGAGATTTGTGAGTGCCAATAGTTACCATTACTTGCTAGAGTGTAGCAATTCTGTCTTTATTAGGAGAATAATGAACTCATAAATGCCCACTCCCATTTCTGGCATCTTTACTCTGCAGGGAATTCTAGCTGAATTAGGTGCAGTCTTTGGATAATGACTTAACCAGGAATACAGTAGTCTCCAGTTGGTTGCTCCACTGCTCTTTGAGATTTAACTCTTAATCTTTGGGTTTGCCAGGCAATGTTGGTCTGACCTAGAACTAAATTTACAGCATTCGTGCTGTCAGACATTGTACATCAAATGGCTTCCTGCCTTTTGGATGAGTAAGGGAAAAAATTGAATATGAATCTGTTGTTTTGTCTAAAACTTTGCATTTTGGAACTGAGGAGAGGTACTTCTGCTAAACTTAGTATGATTTGCACTCTCTCAATTTTTCAAGTATTTATAATTCTGTGCCTGTTTCAAAGTTACTGCCATATTACTCTGTTGAAAGGTATCTAGCAGAGAGACTTTTTTCACAGTGCCTGTGTGCTTGTTGCTTTGTCAGACCTTTGTTTCTCACAATTATAGGGGCTTATGCCTCTCATTCAACCTGGCCTCTGGAATGAGCTCCCCAAATGTTAAAACATTTTAAATGTGGGAGCTGCCTGCCAGAGCTGCAGCGCTCCTCCTAACAGCCAGCAAAATCCCCCAGTTCAGCATCGTGTGCGTTACTGTTGTAAAACATAGGCTGACATCAGGTTTGCAATATCAGAAGAAATCAATTTTGAAACCTTTTACTATATGCCAGACTAAGTCTAAACAGACATGGTAGCATGTGAAAGAAGGTGTTTCCACTGGAATAATACTGTCTTTCTGGTGCCATGCCATTGCTTAATAATATCTTTTTATAACTGTAACTTTCACTGACTCTGCAAACCAAATGAATGAATGTACAATTTTTTAACGTAGATTTCCTTTTGTTTCACATAATTATTAATTTTCTAGATTGAGTGTTGCATTCTAGGTTGAGTGTTGCAGGTATGAAGGAGCACATGCATCTCAATAGAGATCTTACAATAAACAAAAGACTTTTATCACATGCATCCTGATAAAGTTGTTGTAAGCCTTATATACATTTACTATAGTTTCCTGTGTACTTCATGTAATTCTGTTTTTGCTTACCTGATGAAGTCTGTGGAAAGCTTGGAAAAATTTTTTTATATGGCATCCTCAATCCTTAGTCATTATAGAATGGTAGCAGTATTTTGCAGAATATCATGAGAAGCGTTTTGATGCAGGCTCTGTTCTTGCAGTTGTGGACGTGGACATGTTGAGTTACTGTTTTGAAGCTGAAAGTAGTAAATCTTGAAAATTTATCATTTGTGAGACAAGGCTGCTCCAAAGAAGAATTTATTTTTAATATTATTTAATCTTACAGAGTCAGTTACTTTAAATTTTTCACAGTTCTTTCAAAATCAAATTCAGATTTTTTTCAACACCCTTGCATTTTTGGAGATGCGAATTCGTCTAAGTGGCTGTCCTTGAAAGTAAGGTGTTACAACATACCAAGATAATAGCATGTGTAGTCAGGCAAGTGAAGTAATTGGATGTCTGTACAGAAATGTTTCTTATGTAAGTCTGATTCTTGACAATTCCTAAAAAATTGTAAGTCTGTAAACATAAGCTATTAGCCTTCCTGCTCTCGAAAATACCATGCATCAGCTCAAAGATGCTAATGGGATTGTGCGGAATAAACAGAGCCAGCTTATCAATTATTCAATTATTTGATGAATATCTGGACATAAAGAGGAGGCAAACTGCTGATATAAAATTGTTAATAAATAGGACTTTCAGGATGCAGCGAAGGAAGAAGCAGACAGCTTTTGAGGGCCTGGAATGTCTAAAAATAGACTGTACAAGGTCATAGTCTGAGGGATAAATCAGAGTACGTTTTCTAAGGGGGAACTTCTTCCATTGGCTCCATTACTTCATAAAAACACTTCCCTCTATCTCAGAAGTAAGCCAGTACAGTAAGGAAGGAAGGTAAATGTGATCCTGCATTGTATGAGGACACTTGTTTCTGCAGAGAGAGAGTATTGCTGTAGTTGTTTAGGACTTAAGTGAGCTGAGGCACAGACTCCTGCTGCTAAGCTTTGTATTTGATAGCCCCATTCTCACTTCAAACTAGTCACTGTCTCTCTTGCGCCAAACCCATTTCTAATCTTATGTAGCTTAAAATTCTCCTTCAGTTTTCATATGCAATTCAAGGTCTTTTAGACATTGGCATCAAGGTGACACTTTATAACACATTTTTCCTTCTCTTTAGCTGGTAGGTGTATCTGTAGACCGTCATTGCTGTAATTGCATATAATTAAAAATGATTGGAAACTTTTACTTTATTAAGTCAAATAAACACTATCCACTTGTATGGGGCCAGAGGATATTTTCTCATTGTTATCAATTCTATTCTTCAGCATTAAGGTTTCATCAATAACTGGATTGTTTTGGTTTGTTTTTGTGATCAAAGGAAATCAAAGGGAAAAATTATTTTACCCTATATGAGTGACAGGCACCACTCATAAATTTTGGGGGTGTTAGTAATATTTTTCTCCCTCTTTGTAAAATGAAGCCAGAATTTTCTATTCTCAGAGTTTGCTATTCTGGTATTTGTTTTAAATTGTGAAAAATCAAATCTCAACATTGACAAGCCCTGAAAACACAAACCCCAAACTTTTCCTGTATGTATATTGTCAAGTAATTGTTGTCTGCCTGGTGCTATTCCTCCATGAGCCTTTTGCCTTGATCTCTCTGCCAGGCTGCACTTCACACAGACCATTTTATATCTAAAGAGGAGCTAAACCCGCTGAATTAACAAATGAGCAATTTTAGCTTGTTTCAGCATCAAAGTCTATTACTTCACTGTGACTATTGAGCAACCTTGATTTGTGTCTGTGACTGCGAGGTGTCCCTCCATTTCCTCAGGTTTTCCTCACACATTTTAACACTGTGATCTTACAGAGTATTATGTGCTAGCTAGAACTGGGATAGAAAAAATAAGCAGATGAGAAAAGGTGCTTGCAACTTTCAGTCGATGGTCAGAACACAACCTAATTACACCGTTATCTGTTGGTGACATTTGCTTTTCCCTGAATCAGGTTCACGTGTTTGTACCAGGGTGCCAGTCACACTGTTTTATCCACAGGAAGACTTAGATCCCTGACTCAGAGGGGCTCTACTCCATGCCATACTTGATGTTAAACTGCGGGGGGTTTTTTGTTTCCATCTGCTTGAGAGCCTTGAGAGTTAAATTTTTTCTTTTCCATTGGACATATTAAATGAAAAAAAAATCCCTTTGGTGTTAAGAAAATGTATAACATTGATTTGAAACAATCAGTGTTTTTATATTATCAAGACAGTATGATTTTGATAGCTCAGAAAATAAATTAGAAAATTTTTTGTTGTTTGCAAACTCATTGCACAGCAATTTCATTAGTATGACTTCCGTCATGGTTTTCAGCTTTTTTAGCTGCCTGGAGAGGGAAGTGCTAAGACCTGCATTTTGTGCTTTGGGTGCTCTTTTGATTATGCATTTAGTTAAAATTAATGCTTTTGTGAACATTATGATAGATTTTTTTTATTTTGGAAATGTCTATAATACATTATATATAGTATAGAAAATAACCTATTTTGATTTGACTGTATTCACTAGTTGGAAATGTACTTTTCTCTGCTTTGCAAATATGCAGCACATTTTAAAATGCTCCTTTTTGAAGGGCTGTTGGGTGGGTTGTGCATTTTGAAGTTTTTTGAGAAGCATCAGCAGAGAATTTAACATGCAGGAGGAATAAATGTGTAAATAAATGTATGAAAGGTGCCTAAGTTCATGCTTTTGTTTGTTTAAAATATTACATGTCTCCTAAATTTTTAGCTGCAACATGAGAAAGCTGAACTGGAGCAGCATTTAGAACAGGAACAGGAATTTCAAGTGAACAAACTGATGAAGAAGATTAAAAAACTGGAAAATGATACAATTTCGAAGCAGCTCACCCTGGAGCAGGTAACTCTTTCATTGCACCATTATATGACTGAGAAAAAAAATAAGTCCTTCTTTTGTCTTAAATTTGACTTAATGTTTTAAATATATAAGAAACTGGGAAGTATTGAGAATATAGAAAAGCAATAGAAAAGTAACATAATTTATTATGAGAAACTTGGATTAGTTTTTTTTCATGGCCATTACATCTGTTAGTAGCCTTTCTGAGGGCTTTCATGTCTGCTGGACAGCATGACATGCTTTTGCAAGTGACTTTTGCAAATGCAGCTTTTTTGTAAATAATGCTGCTTGTTGCTGTTCATCAGCTTTCCACTCATGCTGCTGGTGAGAAAAGACTGTCACTTTCTGATAGTGTTAAGCACAGTAGTAAATGATGTTTGTGTGCTCTAGGTCACCTTTTGGTGGCAGCTTGGATAGCACAGCCCTGGAACTGAGTTGTCAGCTGTATGTATTCTTCAGAAACCTTGAAGTTTGACTACATCCAGCTCCCTTTCTCCCTAGACAGTCATGAAGATTGCAGAGATAAAACACCACTTGTTTGGCTGTGTTTCAACGAGATGTTTAGATATTGGGAGTGCTCTTATGTCTGATTTTAGGCCTCTGCATCAAGGCATCTCGGTGTTGTCAGTAGGAGACCTTTTGACTTAAAAGGCAAACTGATGAAACCTGTAGGCTTGTTAAAGGACTCCAGATTTTCTGGCATTTGCAAGTCCAATAATTCAGGTGGTGTAATAGTGTGTTATCTCTGTGATTTCTTCTGTCATGGAGCTTTTTTGTTGCTGGTAGTCTGAATTGTTACCAATTTTGTATGATCCTTTTTCTGTTGACATGGATAAATTAATTAATGGCTATCTAAATGATCAAGTGAATTCTTTTGATTCTCATGGTAATGTTCTATATGGAGACACCTATGGAACAAACTGAAAAATTAAAAGGTATGTAGTTGCCAACAAATCCTTACCCAGCATGGAAATTAGCATGAGGTTGAAATAACTCTCTTAGCCACAAGGTGGCGGTGGCTGCTACTTAATCAAAATGCAAAGTAAGTTTAACATACTGAGCTGTTGTTGTCTTTGAAATGTTAGCATGAGCCACGGCTGAAATCTTCATGCTATTATTTTTGTTCTGGGCAGACAGACTTGTGAAATCGTAAAATTTGAAACTTGTTGCTACATCTAAATGTCAATGATACACTGTTCAAAAAGCAAAGCTGCACAAAGGCCTTTAGTATCTGGCTTTGAAAACTTTGTTTGTGAGGACATTAAAATTCGCCTGTCAGTCTTGATTAGAAATTCCATGCGAATTTATGTGTAATTCACCGTATGCCTTTGTTTTCTCTCACAGTAAGGTAGAGTAAATGTCAGGTTACTTAGAGCTTCAGCATACTTTCTTTCCTTACACAAATGAAAAGTGCTGATTGTGCTAATTAACCAGCTGAAGCAGCAGCCTTGGGGCATGTGCTGTACCTAGCAAGAAGCAATCCAAAGTTGTGGGGAGAGTCATGTTGCCTCTATTGCACACAGAGGGAATTAAGGAAGAGGGATTGCCATGATCTGCAACACAACTTCAGAACACCTGTTAAACAGGGCTTGGAAGGAGAACTACAGCAATGCTTTGAGCTGGGCTGCATTGAAATCTGTCAGTCAGCAGTTAATTACAGCATATGTTCATTAAAATGTTGTTTTTAAAATAGAGAACGTGAATTATCTATGCTTTGTGTTCTTTCTTTCTGCTTTGTTTTTTTCATCTGAACTGCTTATACCACAGGTAGTCAGTAGGTAGCTGATTTGTGGTTGCATAGAATATTATCCTTAATAAAGATTAAATTGGATCTTAGGGTTCAAATGTGATCTGAAATAATTTTTTGAAGTCAGCTTGAAGTCAGCAGAGCATTCTTCTCTGAAGGCAAATGGTGAAGAAATTTACAGCATGTGACTATTTCATTAACTGAATGGTTCAGTTAAAACAAGCAATAATGTTCTGTGTTACAGTTCAGTGGTTTGATAGGAAATAAATAGCTGTCAGGATTGCTCTACAGAGGCCAAGTGTGTGTAGTCTTGCTGTTACTGTTTTCAATTGCTTTTCTATTTCATACAGTGTAGTGAATGAATGAACTAGAATGATGCAGTTAGGAGATGAGAAATAACTAAAATGCTAATAATAATCTCCTATGTCTGCTTTGAAAGGAGAAGAATATGAGATGGTAAAATCTTTGAGAGACTTTCTTGGAAAGCAGCAAATAATTAAAGCTACAAAGGGCGAGGTTGGGATGAGAAGCAGAGAAGTAAATTTTGGGATAGTGGGCATAGGCAGAGATGAGCATATTCAACTTTGATATGGAAGACATTAATTTCAGGAGAGAACGGTTGTGCTTGTTAATAAGTTGGCAAGACAGTTGACAAAGCAATAATACAAGAATACTCATAGAGTGGATATTTTAGCTGCATTTTGAAGTAAAGTAAGTGCATGTGTGAGAAAGAAGAAACACAAGTGGGTGATGAGGAAGGTTAAAAGGAATTTTACTCTAAAGGGAAGGTTGAGGCCTGAAAAGCAAGCAGTGCTTCCTTGTTTCCTCGTTTTAGTGGTCAAAATTAAGTGATGTTTGATTGGAACGTGACTCTGAACCCCTGTCGAGTGACACTAGTATTGACAGAGCTGCTGGCTGAGTCCTGAGCATAATCCCCTCCTGCTTATTTTGTTTCAGAATACTAACACATTTCTAAAAAATTCATTGACTGGAGTACATTTCAAAGTACATCTGAAACTGTCAAGTGCCAAGCCAAGTACACCAATTCTTTGAATTTGCAGCTCTGAATAGGATGCTGCAGTTGCTTCTGCTGTAGGTGTCATTCAAGGTGCTCTTCCTCCAAGCTTTGAAATCCTGACACTGGAGGAAACTCACTGGCACAACACTCATGACCAGGAAAGGAAGATCTTTGTTTCCAGTATGTTTTCATATTGCTGGAAATGTGGAGTTCTAGATCTGTTTCACCTGGATTCTTTGGTGTTTTGTCAGAGCAGCTTCAGGGCACAATGCAAGGATTATTTGTATATCGTTGCTGATGGTTTGCCAATTGTGCATGCTCACCTACAAGCACATTTATAATTAATGGACTCCAGTGCCTTGGTGATAGTTGTTATAATACTAAATGTAATCTTAGATTTTTCAAATCCAGGCTTATAAATAATTTACTCTGTCTTTAGATTCAAATGTGTTCTTCCTACCATTAAAAGATATGGATTTCTTTTCACCTTTACGTTCTTGTGGGTTTGTTTGTTGCTAAAAAGACTAAAAGTAGGTGAGTCTAATCCATCCTGCATTGAAATGATGCAAAAACCATTGCTGCAGAGGTCATACCTGCATTCACACTTTTTTCATCATGTGATTGTCTAGATAGATGTGCAGTGTAATGGAGATCTGGATTTTGGTAATGTAGAAGCACAGTGTGCAGATTCCCAGGACATCTTCTGAAGTTTCTTCCCTCTGGGTGTTCCCAGCTGCAAACATTGGCCAGACTGGCTGAGTGGCCCTGAGACAGTGTCCTGTGCTCCTGGGGCTGAGACCTTTGCTTTCCTACCACTCTATTTCCAGCTGTGTGGGGAACAAAGTTGATCAGGATCCAAATTCTCATTCTCTTGGGGAAGCTGAAGCATGTTGCTTCTGACTTCTCTTTTAGAGATGTAGGTTCCCTGAGCTGTTAATGTACATCTGGAAACTCAAACATAGACAGATTTGCTAGACAGTGTTTGTCTTTCTAAGTATGTTCCTTATTACTCACCAACATCTGTTTCTGCTTACAGTAACTAATTCCTCTACCCTTTAAAGGAGAAAGTTGTACATTCATTAAACTTGCACTGGTACCTAAAGTGTGTAAGTTTATATTTTGTTTGGGTTTCTCAGCATTAATTTAGTGGTCAGCAGTAACAGTTTACAGATTTAGATGCTCCATAGCCCTTCAGCCAGTGATAAAATAAATGGAAATCACTTAATTCTGTTTTCAGCCTTTCCATTTTCTAATGTGAGATTATTTGCCTGGCAGAAAAGTGGTGTTAACTAAGGCTTAGCTTGGAAAAATGTTTCCATGTTATTTTCCACCTGCAGAGGTGTTGATCTGTTCCCAAATATTTCATTATTGATAATTTTCTTAGTTCAGCTATATTGCTACAGAGTAAGATCAGCTGTGCCTCTTAATATTCTCCTATCTTAATAACACTTGCATTGTATTTCTACTATTAAACACTAATGATAGGTTTCTGCATGTGTGGGTCTACATTATATCTTCCTTTGTTAGTGTTAGAGTAGAAGGTTCTACCTTTTATCTTTTATTAACTTGTAGTAGAATCAAGAATGCTTGTTCACGCAGTAAGTGTACATGATTAATGTCAAGTTTTTAATTTTATAAAGCCTTTGCTAAAATAGAATTACATTTGTTTTTCTAGTAAGGATTGATATAGTAACACTTAAGGCATTTCACATAGCCTTTTCTTTACTATTTTTGTTATGTCCTTTATTTAACATTAGACACACAAGACAAGTTTTTCTTCCATTTCTGGATTACTTAACTGTGATTCTTCCACTAAAAACATCTAAAACTTTTCAAAAGAATAAACATTGCTGTAATGAACAGTAAATTCAGTTAGAATTTCATAGATTCATGGAATAGGAGATGTCTTTAAATAGGTTTGCAGTCTCATCAGTGCCTGCATGTCCAGGGTTCATGCTCCTGCTTATTGGCCAGAGACAAGTTCTCAGGGAAGTCTTTGTGTTAAGGAGGTAACAACTGTGCAACTACTGCATCTCTGATTTTTCCAGTGCATTGTACATGAATTCTGTCTCTTCTTCCCCTTCTCCTTGCCCCTGTAAAGCATTATGTAAAATGGAGTTGTTGGAGCTTTCCTAATGACAGTTCTTTGCAAAAAATATATGCCCTTCATTTTCATTAACTGTTTTTCCTCTCCAGCTAAGACGTGAGAAGATTGACCTTGAAAATACTTTGGAACAGGAACAAGAAGCACTAGTGAATCGTCTCTGGAAGAGGATGGATAAGCTTGAAGCAGAAAAACGGTTTGTCTTGTTACAGTGCACTTGTTACTATGGGAGGGGTTTTTAATACATCGTGTTCTGGATTAAATATACTCATTTCTGTCCTACAAGACTTGTCTAATCTCTGAAAACCTGGAAGATGAAGCAGTTGTAAAGTTCCTTGTTTGCATAATGCCGCATCATTGATTGCTTAAAGTAGATAGAACTAACCACTGTAAGAAATTACCTAGGAAAGTTTGAAGGAATTTAATGAATTTTTTCAACTGCTCATAGTCTCTTTTTAAAGCTTCTGGTTTGTAGTCAGCTTTAAATTAATGATATTTTACTGTGTTTGTTATATGAGAAGCTCTTGGGAGTTTTTTTCCTGTCTGCTTAAAGAAAACTTCAGCTTTTTCTCAGTGATGTGCAGTCATGTCATTGAGACTTTCCAATGCTTCTTTAGTGGAAGTTAAGATACTGATTCTTTATATTATTGAAACAGCTAAAATTAAAAGTATGTATAGAAACAACCATCTCTTAAACGTTATAATAACAAGAACTTAGTTTGGAGAGGAAGTAGGAGAGAATAATTAATAATGATTATTAATACCTTATTTTTATGTGTTTATTGTTGCATTAATGTGACCTTCTGAATCTTGGCTGGGACATCAGAAAACACCTGAGCCTGAATGAACTGCAGGTTTTGTAGTTTTATTTTACAGAGCCCTGCTGTGTGCAAGGTGCTCTGAAGAGCTGCATGTGATATTCAGCAGTGGTAAATCCATAGCAGGATGAGCCTTTGGTAGAATTTTTGTGCATCTTGGATTTAAAGCCTTTTTTACGGCAAACAATTTCTGGTTTGATTTATCTCAGACTGTGCCCCTCTCTGCGAGGAGCTTTGCTGGAGTCAGACGTGCTTTAGTACTTTGTGTGGTGTGTGTGAATACTGCACCTGCAAAAGGTTGTACTTTGCATAGTGCTGTCCCTGCTCTTCAGGGCAGAGTTGGATCTGGCCTATCAACATGTTCCTTCTAAAGTTTCATGCTTTCAGGGTGGAAAATACTCCTATGTTACTTCCAAAAATCATAATTTAGAATCTTTAATATCTACTATGTGCTTATTTCATAACAGAAGTTAATTACTCCTCAGTTTGCCATCAATTATCTGAAGTGTTTGAAATCTTGATTATATGGAACACCTTAATACTTTACTGTTTGGAAATTAAAAAAAAAAAAGGGAGTCTATTTTACTGTCCTTCAGAAAATAGCTGTGAAAATGTCACTATTCTTTTGATAGTGGTGAAATGCAGAAAAGCCTGTGTTTCAAGATAGACATAATTTACTCATCATTAATCTTTACTATATGTCTTTTCTCCAAGAACATAAATATAAAAACTTATAAGAGATTAAATGAGTTTTCTTAGCAAAAACATTGTGTAGTGAGTTGCATTTGAGGACAAAACTGAGGTAACTATTTACAGTCTAAAATTTGTTTTTCCTGTTGTAATATTTTGGAATGTCAAGGTCTGAATATGTTAGAAAAGTCTTCTGTACTAGGACAACAAATTTTGCCTTTTTTATTTTGAGTTAGAAACTAAACCTTATAACTCCTTCCTAATTTATCTCCCCTGAAACCATAGTTAAAATAAACCCTACATATCTGTCCTTGCAATGGCTTTCTGGGGGGTACAAGAGGTTTTCATGAGAATGGAAGGTAAAGCTTACACTATTTTTCATACAGAATTTTGCAGGAGAAATTAGACCAGCCGGTGTCTGCTCCACCATCACCCAGAGACATATCAATGGAGATAGACTCTCCAGAAAATATGATGAGACATATCAGGTTTTTGAAGAATGAAGTAGAGAGGTTAAAGAAACAACTGAGAGCTGCACAGTTACAGCGTGAGTAAATGAGTAAATTTGTTTCAAATTTTCTGAAGTTTTTGCATTGTAAGATTTTTATATCTACTTTCTTGAGTTTGAATTTAAGGTAGAAGTGGAAAAAATGGGGTAGGTTTTGATTACAACATCTTCATAATTGCAGTGTTATTGCTTGATGAAATGTATTTTATACTGTAGTTTAGGGTGTTCTTTGGGTTTACTAAAAGGATTTCTGAAAGAAAAAACAATACTTAACTCTTTTGTGCCAGAAAAAGATGTATCTATCTTTTTTCCAGAAACTTAGCAGTATTTCAACATACAAATTTTTAAAAACGTGTTGCAAATTAAGAATTACTCAAAAGAATTAGCATCTAGCAAAATAAAGGTCAGCTATATATAAGAATTTCACTTGTTAATGCTTGTGGCAGCCTGAGGCAGCTGCTGCACAGTATAGCAGCATTAATTTACTGTGTCCTTTGCTATGTAAGATGGCTTTGAAACTTAAAGGAGATGTGTAGAAGTCATCACGTTCGTGTTCGTGTGCAGGGCTGGGGCCCCTTGCCCAGCAGTGGGACCTTCATTTTGTCCTGCCTTCCCAGGAAGGGGCTGTGCACTGAACACATGGGATCAGCTGCCAGGAGGCTGCTGGCACCTTCCCTTGGACTTTGCACTGCCAGTCCTTCATTCCTTCCTGCTGAATCTAAAATTCCTGTCTGAGAGTTGGCAGTTCTGCCTGGTTCCAAGTCAGTATAGCATTAGACTGCAGTTGGTAGGTGAGTAGATACCTCACCACATGGCCAGAAAAAATTGGGCAAATGCAGAACAGTCAGTATCATTCCCCTCTGGCCAACCAGGCTAACTGGAATGTTTCAACCTCCATTTAGAGAAGGAGCTTGCTAGAGGCAGCAGCCTTCCTTCAAGACAGAGATGATGGATCAAGAGTGCTCTTTTGCAGAGACCTTGTGCACAAGTTTGTGGCATTAATCATTTGTGACTGTTAAAAGAAGATAAGGACAGCTAATCTTTGTACTTGCAAATTCTGCACTGCAGCCTTCACTTACTAAAGTTCAGAACAAGAGCAAGGCCTTAGATTAAAAGTAGTCTGTGCAAATCCAGCCTAATTAATTTCATTTCAAGTATCCTCTGTTTTTAAGTGGTTTGTTTTTGAACTGCTGTGATTTAGAGTAAAAAATCGAAAGCATTAATGTCAAATTCACATTGAAAATAAGAGCTAGGTTTAAAAGGACTCTCTCTTTGTGAACAGGTTAAACAGAACTGCAATACAAATAGCAGAGCTGGTAAGAATGGTGGATATGCCAGCCTGCAAGCAGAAGATGAAACTGAAGTACAGTTTTCAGATTGGTGTTTGTAATACATGGTCACTAAAGAACCTCTAGTATTCTTCTTAAGTACTTAATGAAATCTGCTTATGAAATTCTTATCCTTGTTACAACATTTTATGTTTCTGAAACACTTCTAGGAACTGGTTTGGTATGATAATAGTGTACAGGAAGCTACACTGTTATATTGAAAAGTGATATTTCCACAGAAGAGAGATAAATCACATGTTGTTAATAGTTTGGGAACAGGTTTCCAAGACAGGAATATTCTTTACCTTGAAAGATGCTGCATAAAAGAGCGATGACAAAGCATGATGAATTGTTTTGTGTTTTCTTAATGTCAGGGGTTTAACTGTAAGCTTGCTCGTATGTTACAAAATCTCACAAAATACACCTTATGTGTCTCATAAGTCTTCATCATATATTCAATTTTATTTAAGTAATCTGTCACAAAGCTTCGTAACGTTTCATTTGACTTTATCACTTTAAATAATCTGTGATACCAGACCATTTAATTGATGTTTGCTGAACTTGTTTAAAACTGACGACTCAAATTGCCCTTTGATGTAAAGAATAAGCTTCTTGTTGGCTTTTAACATTAAAATTGAATGCCATTTTAATACTAGTGTTTTAATATTGGTACATGTTCTGTTGGACAGTCTCTATGATAAGATGTGTAATTGAAAGAGTGTTGTAGAATATATATAAAGTAGCAATTTTAATACAAGTTTGAGTTTGGAGTTTCAGAACTTGTGTGTGCTTCGTCCTTCAAAATGAAAGTACACGTTTAAAATAATTTCTTCAGTGTGTTGCAGGAAAATCTTTGTAAATGTGGAATAACATTATTTTTATGGAGCAGGAATCAATATTTTTACTTAATAGTTTTAGTAATGTTTTCTTAATAAAATTTTCTTTTCAAATTTATGTTAATAAGTACTTTTGGTTTGTGGTGATGGTTTTTGTTTGTTTTTCTTATATTTTGTTTTCAAACTTGTTGTCAAGCAATAGTTTATTTTAGTAGCTACTGTTCTGAATTGGGCTTTGAACTGATGACTGAGAGGTGAAAATTTTCAGTGATCTGTCCTGAGCATTTTCTATAGTAAAATTAAGCACAACATACTTGGCTGCCTGAAAAATTGAATTTTAATCAACTTTTAATAAAACGATGAATTTCAGATTCAGAGAAGATGGCACAATACTTAGAAGAAGAGCGACATATGAGAGAAGAAAACTTGAGACTTCAAAGAAAACTACAGAGGGAAATGGAACGCAGGGAAGCTCTCTGCAGACAACTGTCAGAAAGTGAATCCAGCTTAGAAATGGATGATGAAAGGTTTGTATTTTTTTGGCCATCCAGATGTGTTGGACTTCTTTATTAGAATTTTTAGTACTTTTTGAATATTATAGAATAATTTTAGAAGTAACTTGTATGTGGGTTTAATATGCATATCGAATTTCAATATAGTCCAGAAATTGTATCGTTGTACAGAAACTGTATTAGTTTTAATAGTGATGAGGAAAATATTTATATCTTAAGGTTGCTTAGGAGTTTGATAATATATATTGAAATAAGTACAGCTGTGGAGTTGAGAATCAGGATAATTTGGTCACACCACCTTTGTTTAGCTCCTAACTTGCTAACTGCAAGGAATTCCGTGAGGTAGGGATATCATCTTTACTTGGGCCTGATTTGTCATTTGCAGAAAGTAAAATATGTTCAGCCAAATACAAAGGGATACTGTGTAAAATCTTTGAGAGAGGAACCATTTCCAGAACTGTTAGGTTGTTCTTGATGTCCAAATCATAATATCCTTAGGTTTTTTTTCTCTATTGCAAGCTGTTTTGCTTGCCCCGACCTTACAGATAGTCTTGAATTTTTCATGGTTTATATCGTGCCTTTTCTCACATCATAGAAATATCATCTTGTTACATCCTGGAAGAAGATTCTAAGTACATTTTGAATAAAACATACTACTTATCAAATGCTCATTATTTGGTTGTATTGTTGTATATTATTTTAGATTTATGGTGGTTCTTTAGAATAAATTAAAGAGTTACTCTGTGCTGCATTTTTTTTCTGATACTGAGAGATTTCTGTTTCCTCTTGGGTCCTTAATATATCTGTTAAAATATGTAATTTACCAGAAACAAAATACCAGATATTTTGTGGTAAGGAGTACCCTTAAAACTCAAGGTAGTGTGTTCATTCTAATGAAACACCAAGGCAACTTGACCTATATTGCATTAGGATCTGGTATTAAGACGTAGCAAATGCTATATAAATGAAATTGTTAGAAATAGGAGATTCTGAGGTTGGAATTTTTTCTTATTAGATAGGCTTACCTTTTCTTCCCCTGTTTACAGTGCAGTGGAAGTACAGTCAAAATCTAAATCTACAAGAATTACCAATATTAATCTAAAATTGTAGAGTATCCTAATAATTTTTTTTATCACCCACTTGTAAGTAGTGGTAACCAGGAAAATGCAGGAAAATTTGATTAACTATTCTGTACTTGTAAGAAATTATCAAGTTTGATTTTTTTGGTATTACAAAGGCCTGACAGAATAACTGCAAATCAAGTATTTGCAGTGTAAGTAATCGAAAGCAAAGCGAAAGACAAAGCAGGCATTAGTAGTTAGCCTGAGAAGACAAAATACTTGTGGAACTATGTGCAATAATGATTTTAAAATCTCAATTTTTGTCAGCTTACATCTTCCTAAAAACGATGGTGATGATGGATCAGCTGTCCATTTCTTTCAGTTGCATTCTGTTAGCTGATGATAATTATTGCTTGCAGATGAGGATGCTTTCCTGAACATAAAAGACACAGCTCTCCCAAAGCCTCTTTCTCCAGAACAGCAATAGCTTTAGTAGTCTTAATCCTTCATCCTATTCTTTGGAGTAGCAGGGTAACACCTGAAACCAGGATGCATGCTAATGGGGTGCTGCTGTTCCACATCACCTGAGCCAGGTAGTGGGATGACTTAGAGGAAACTCTATTTGTGTAGAATACAAGGGGATTAAATCAGAGATGCTGCCTTGCTGGAGCACACACACTGGTCTGTGCTGGAACTTACTGTGTGTTGCAGAGGTAGCTATCTTGCCACTGGTAGATCTTTTAAGAACTTGTATATTTAATTAAACCCTAATTCATTAGTTTGTTAGTTTTCTGTTGTTCTCTATTGCAGCTACCTTTATTACCTGGTCTACCCAAATTCAAACGAACTTTGGTATCACTACAGTGTACTGCCTGTGCTAGGGCATGTGGATTGTTAACTCTGAATATCCTGGCTGAAAACCAGGAAGATGCAGTATCAAAATATGTTTCAAATAGTGTATGAACGGACCTCAAAGTAGTCATTGTGAGTTCCATCAAATAGGAATAATTTTAATGCTGTTCCATGTTACTGGTTTTATTTATTATCATGGGGAAATAAATGCAGCTACTAAGAATTCCTGAGAACACACTGACAGAAGAGAAGACAAGTAAGAGTCAAAGGGCTTGGTAGCAAATTTGGCCTGCGACTCTGCTGTGTCCAGCAATGAAACACAGCTGAATCTAATAATATAAACCCACATGCACTGATTTGCAACCACATGGAGAAGGTGAGCAGGGGGACATCTAAATCTAGAAAGTGACTGAAAAATCTAAGTGGAGAGTGCCTAAGCAACCCATCCTAAGACTGCCAGCCTAGTGCTGTGGGGAAAAAAATTCATAAAATCTCTTGAGATAAAAACTGCAGTTGACAAGTAAGAGTAATTGGTATTATTTTTATCCTTTTATATAGCACTTGATATCTGTGAAGAAGCTTCACTGTTGTCAGTGAATGAAGGACAAATAAATATCACTAAAATTATTACAGGTGGGGAAAAATGCCTTGCCTCAGGTTCTGACCTGTTCAGTTTATCGTAGTGAAGTATGGGAGGTGTCTTGCAATACACCCTGGAATTACCTTTAGTGAGATGGTCCTGGGTTGAAAGTGTCTCTCTCTTCCAGTGGCAGAAGACAGAATGAGCAAATGTCGAAATGTTGGGACCAGAGGGATTCAAGTAGGACACAGGACATGTTTTTAATGCTATGGCTGATCAGCTGTTGAAACAAATTATTAGTACTTTAATGATTTCTTCACCCTTTTTCATGATTTCAGATTAGTGCTGAATGCCTTTCTGGAAGATACAGTCCAGCCAACCAAGCTTTTGAGTTCAACGTAGAAATGATGTGTGAAGTGCAAAAATGTAGAAAGGGTCAGATTGAATGACACTGTTTACATATCTGACCTTAATATATACTATTTAATCATATGCAACTTGTACGGTTTAACTGCAAATGCCTAAGTCCAGCTGTTTCCATGGAAAGTTAAGTCAGTGTCAGCAATGACAAGAGTTCCTGTCATGACTTCCTAATGTGATTCTTATGGGAATTGAAAAAAATCACAGTGAAACATTTAAAACATGGCACATTTTAAAAGGTTTGATCTAATTATTCTTTGCCTTTTTTTGTTAGATATTTTAATGAGATGTCTGCACAAGGATTAAGACCTCGCACTGTGTCCAGTCCTATCCCTTATACACCCTCACCAAGTTCTAGCAGACCTATATCACCTGGTAAATATTTAACCCAGTTTCTAAAATTATTGTATGCATCACATAGTAACGTGCCCTATTAATATATTTAGGTCAGCAGCCTTTCAAAGCTAGTTTGGAGGAAAAAGTCCTGCATCATAAATGCAAAAATAGTTTTGCCTTAGGTGTCTTCTAGTGCAGCATGTTCTTGGATGGTGACCAGATATTCTGTATTTCAGATCTGTGGACAGATATTGAAGATCAGTTAAGTAGCTATCACTTGAACTTTATTTCTTTTTTGCTCTTTATTCTCTCTTGCTGTCTTTTTTTCCCCCCTCCCTTCCCACACAAGTTGCGCAAAAAGACACAATTCAAATGGATTTCTAGAGTCTGATGAAGAACTAGTAATGAGACTGATATTGTACTCTGCATCAAAACTTCTTAGGGAAGTTTAATCTTGAACATGTTGGAAAAAAAGTCGATTTTCATTTCTCTTCAGTAGAAAAATGGCTTTTTTTACTTCTATTTTGTGTTATTAAACAATAACTGTAAAATTAATAATTCCTGTCTCACATATTTTGTATAACAAAGGCAAACAAACCTTTTCTGAGTTTCTAATTACTGAATATATTTTAAGTCAAATGAAATGCATTTTGTGTTACTAACACATTTATTGACTGAAATTTAAAATCCCTTAAAGTTGCACTTGTACATTCATTACAAGTTGTTGGCAGTGGGTGTTACATGGTGCTCACAAACATCTTGTACATGAGGAAGTGAACTGTGCATGCCTCACTTTCCCACGTTCACCTCTAGAACCTGCCAGGCAGATGAGATATGCTCTGTATTAACACAAGGTGGGAATGAGACATTTTATTACACAGGTCTGCTAGAACATATAAAATGTCTTTAGATCCTTTAATTTTCAAGGTTGACTGTGGTTTCTGAAAGGACTATAAATAGTTTTCATCCAGGTGTTGCATGTGTGAAAACCAGCTATGACTGTAAGCCATGTTATGGTGTTAGAGATGAGCAGTGTGACTATGAGTATTCAGAAAGTTTTTGCATTTCTGAAATGAGCCAAATGACTTGACTTTCAGTGTTTTGCACGGTGTGTTACCAAGAAAATGATGCATATTTTCTTATCCCTTTCCTGTAACTGTGTGTACAGAAGTGTAGTTGTGCCAGCAGCTGCTCTGGAGTAACTGACCGGGCGTTCGTTGTTCTCTGTGTGCAGCCTTTATAACAGTACAGTAACCAACTGCAGGTCGGATCTGCAGTCACACAGGGGTTATAACTACAGCTCTGTGTGGGACAGCTTGCCTGCTAATTTACAGGCTTATATCTTACGTTATTTAGCAATGCACCTTGTTTAGGTGCTGATGTGTTAGTGCAGGAGAACTCTGTCAGTTTATTCTTACATTGAGACTGAAGTGCATTCTTTGTTCCCTGTGGACTTGACTTCCCATCAGTAGTTGATACAAGAGTGAGAATTTTATCCCACGGGCAAGGGATGCTGACGCACACTCTGAAGCACAGCTAAAATGATAATTTCTAACGGAGTTTATGAGTTTGGAAATTTTGGTATGGTAAATGTTCCAGGCTAGCTTGTCTGCACGGGCTGCTGCATTAATCTCCTTTTCGTCTGATAAATTAGTATCAGCAGTTGGGAAGTTTCAGACTTCAGAAAAATAGAAGCAGCAATTTGTAGAGAACTATTAAGATCGGTAGGGAATTTTGTAGAGCTGTCTGGATAAATGAATGCAGTAATGGATTAAAACAAAGTTTATGAGAGTATTTTGTATCTAAAGTAGTACAGTAAGATGATGTCAAAAGTATCAGCAAAGAATAATAAAACAGCCATATGTTGCCTCAGTTATTTGCACGACTTGGCATATTTCATTTGGGAAATGATGTGCCTTGAATATGTGGAAGCAGAATTTGTAACCAATTAGAAATACTATCATTTCATGTGGATAGCTGCTTTAATGAATCGGATTCTGGCTTCTGAATCCCAGAGTCTTTTGTGCCTGCATGGCTTGGGATACTACTTTTGAAGACTCTTTGAAGCTGAAATACTGTTGCAATTTCTAGCACAGTGATCTGTGCTAGAAATCTTCCAGAACTCTGAAGAGAGTGTAATTATTGCTACTCCTAGGCAACTTGGGATTAGTTGTTCTAATTGCCAGTTAGTCCTCAGTGTAGATAAACTGTTCTGTGCTTTGCCACTAAGCTGGATAGATGTTTGGGGCTGCAGAGATGAACTATCCTGAATGTATATGCACTGCTCTGGTTTTGCTTCTTTGGCTGCCATGTAGTAATGCATTTGCCAAGCCTGTGGAGCTGGATTATTTGAAAGCAGTTGAAAATTGCCATGTTACAAAGGTGGCTCTGTTTTGCCTATTATTTCTTGGCTCTTACCTCTGACTGGCTACCTTGTCACTTCCCTGAACATTGACTTGTTTCTATCCTTGTGCTTACAAAAACACTTAAATATAACATGTGCCCTACAGATAATTAGATTGTGTAGTCAAAAGGCAGATTAATTTTGTTGTTATTCTGTAGTGGCAGGGATTCCATGGGAATATTTGCACCAGACATACATTGACAATGTAACAGAATCAAACAGAATTGAAGGAAGCAAGGCAGTCTGTTTATGTGACTTCATTAGTGATCTGAGGCTTGTTCCGTTTTCTCCTTGAGATCTTGTCTCATCTCTTGTAGACAGAAACACAGGTGCATGCAGACAGGGATGATGCTGGGTGTCACTGCAGGGACATTAGTGTTGAAGTGTAAAACTGTTCAATCCAGTGTGGTATTCTAAAAGTTTAATAGGCCTTCAGTAATGTTTTTCAGTCATTATTCTCCAAAGTAGTTGCTTGAGTCTAATTGTAAACAGCTGAGAAAAGTCCTGTCTTGTTCCTTATGATATTTTTGTCAGAAAGCAGAAAGGAGCAAAAGGTTTTGGAAAATGTGCTCTTTTGAGAAACTCAAACTGTTCAGAACACTTTAAGGTGTGAACTTAAAGCATTTGGCAGTTGCTGTTTCTGTTTTCCTTGGTTAGATAGAGCTATACAGGAACTATGCATTTTTATAATGGAATTTTTACAGAAAGGAAATACATGGATGAAAGAATTAGATATTTGCAGTTTTGAGTATTGGGCTTTCCTTAGTGTAGATAAAACAAGTTATTATCTTAAATGTTAGTTGATAGCCTAGTCCAGCTAGTAAAATTTCCCGGCCCCAAAGGTCTTTAAAATGCTGAGGCAAAAGAGGAGGAAGCCTTGGTGCAGATCTGGTATGCCTTGGAGGAGCCACCTACATCCAGTTTTTTTGTGGAACCTCATTGTGACCCAGTCCTAGATGGCTTCTCCAGACACAACCTCTCTGCTTCTTCAGACTGTATGTAGTTCAGGGGGCCATTTCCTCCATGGAGAAATGGAATGCTGAATGGAAATACTTATGGACTAGAACTAAGCTACTATGGGAGTCTTACACCATTTATCTTAAGTGAAGAGTTCAGTTTAACATTGTATAATGTATGTTTGAAACATATAGTAATATGCTACAGGAAAAGAAAATAAATTTGCACACTTCAGTACAATTAATATTTTCTAGATGTTGAATCTGCAGCACTTACCAGTTTTTAGATTATCATTGATTCAGAACCAAAAAATCTGAAAAAAACCCTCACACTTTAGTTTTTAATATCAAACAAGAATGTTGATGTTACCTTGTTTTAACAATTTTAGGTCTGTCATATGCAAGTCACACAGTTGGTTTCACACCACCAACTTCACTGACTAGAGCTGGAATGTCTTACTACAATTCCCCAGGCCTTCATGTGCAACATATGGGCCCATCCCATGGTATTACAGTAAGTATTTAAAATAGTAAATACTTGTTACCAATATAGTTTGGTTTCTGGAAGTTATGATTTGTTGTCCTCAAGCTTTTTTAAAAAATATTTTTGTAAATGTTTGTTTTTGTCTCCTTACACCAAGACATCTATTGCTGCTTTCTTCAACCCTGATTTTCCTCTTCACCCCTCAGAAACTGATTCTTTTTGGAGAACCTTGTTTTCTGCAAAAGAATAGGATATATTATCATCTTAAGGACAGTAATAGGTATCATCTTATGGATCAGCAGGCAGGGTGTGAAAAGTGATGTTCTAAGCTACTAAGTCTACCCCAGGAAGTAAAAACGTTGCTTTCATTTTTCTCCTAGTCTCCACCATCTGACGGATGAGTCATCTGAGGTTGCTTCAAGCTCAGGTTTTCTTCAGGATGACACACAATGCTACCATCATGTCACTGTAACAGGCAGTTAACTCTTATTTTCTATTGTCATTGGCAAAGAAGAAAGTTAATATAAACATTTGTTAGGGCAATTTCTCATATCTTTCAACTGAATTTATTTCCTTTTTACCTGCGATGTTTGATGCATTTATGCTTCATCATGTTTCTTCTAAATATTTGTGGAGTTTAATGAACAAACAAAACCTAAAATACCTTATGGTTGTTGTATCAAGACCATTTTGATTTTTCTCAACAGGTATAGTAGTATGTAAATATTCCTCAAGGTTTTTGCTTATACTTGTCATTCTCAGATGTAAAAATATGTTTTAATAGAATTTTTAGTACAATGCTGAATTATGACTGCTTTTGGTTTAGGTGGGTGTGCAGAGGTAATTGTTACAATTTCACTGGGCTAAGGTGGGGTGGGTGGGAACACTACAGTGGTAGGTAGAACAGAAAGGAAGCTGGAGCTCAGTAGAAAAGTAGATTCTGGTTGGGGCTCAGCCCGTGGCTGTGTGTCGAACATGAGTTGGTCACAGGAAGATCGTTATGCTTCTGGAAAGCATGGAAACTAATTTTGTAAATTAATTTGTCAAGGAACTTGCTCTGTTCAGTCTCTGAAATACTACTCTTTGTGAAACTATAAATTGAGTCACTGAAAAAGGTCATCTTGAGGACAAAATACTAATTGTTCAGAGAAGGGTGTCAACAAGCAGCTCATGGCTTTATCTTAATACTGATACCATGTCCCCTTATATTATATGTGTGCAAATGCAGTAAATGATATTGTTTCAGAGGCATCAGTCAGTTTTCAAGAATCTCTTACATTTCACATACAACTTGAATCTATTGTGCATAGTTGTGCAGAAAAATTGATACAATATATTTGATTTGACTAAACTGCAGTTTCATTCTTGACTCTTCATTTTTGATGTCCATTACAGAATAAATTTGACTTTACTGGTAGTACATTTGGTATAGAATTGTAATCATGCTTTTCCCCAGAGCTGACCACCTGTGGTTGATTAGTAATTATGGGTAGGTGGTTTGTCATGCCATGAGGTTGTTGATTAATGCTAACTAGATTGGTAAGTAATGAGCCTTTTTGTTTCACAAGTGCAGAAGTCAGTGTTGTGGAGTGTAATTTATATTTTTGCATTGCTAACATTAAAGATCATCCTCCCCCTCCCACCCCTCAGTTTGTAAAGATAAAGTGGGGTTTAAATCTTTCTGTTTAAATGTACCAGTTGTTGAAAATCTGTAGTTTCTGTTGAGGGGGTCTCTCAAACAACTGCTTCAGTCCTGCAGCTCAAAGGGTTGTAATATTTTTTTGTTCTCCACAGAGCAACTTATATTATGGTTTTGCTCCAGTGTGTGGGCTAAGAGTCTTTTCAGAGAGCTAGAAATTCTGGGCAGACTCTGATACTCAAAACTTTCCCACCCACACTGAGGTACGACATGCTGGTAGCTCATGTGCCAGCAGCATGAAGTTAACAGTTCATCTGCACCTGCTGGTCAGGCAGGTACAGCTGGGAGATGCTGTTCCTGCAGCGTCTCATTTCTTTGTAGGTTGCTGGTCATCATGGGTAAACATATCTGCAGGACATGTCTTGTATTCATTTCCTGCAAGCTAACAGGAAGGAATGCATGTTCTCTTTGATGTCAAGAGTACTTCCCATTTCCTTTGCTACTCCATTTCAGAGGAACATTTATTTTATGTAAAAGTTGTATTGTGACTCCTGCGATGTTTTGAAATTTCTTCTTCCCACGTAATTGTTCAGACTTCTTTGTGTGATTTTCTTTTTCCTTTGCCAAAATTAGAGGACTTGCACCTAACGCTGTTCAGGAGTGTGTTAAACATAATTTCAATATTTGTTCTGCAGAGGCCTTCACCACGAAGAAGTAACAGCCCCGACAAATTTAAACGTCCCACTCCTCCTCCTTCTCCAAACACGCAGACCCCAGTGCAGCCACCTCCGCCACCACCTCCACCACCTGTGCAACCTCCGGGTCAACCCACAGCATCGCAGGCAGCCAATTTTCAACATTCAGTGCATCCCTCCTCTCAGCCTTAGTGCATGTGCTCAGCAATCTCTATGTCAGAAGTGGACTCATAACACGGAGCAGTTTACTAAAAGCCAAAGGCTTACTTGGCATATTTGGATTTGACTTATTTGCACTGAGGTTATATAGGCTTCACTGTTAATTGTGTTGTAAACGTTTGTATAAAATGCAGCCAGTGTTGTGGGTCTACAACACTAACTTAACAAAGTTTTCCATCAGTGTTTACTTGAACTACATGTATGTCCATTCTCTGGCTGGAACATTTGCTATTCTGTTTGGTAATACGGCATTATGTCGTTTTGCTTGGCTCCAAAGCTTCATTTTCCTTGCTTTTAGGTTTGTAAAATTAAAGGGATACCTTTTTATATTTTTTCATGACAATTTGCAGAAAATGAAAGGCATGATGGGCTACATGATAAATTCTGAAATATTACAGTGTTTACCAAGCTTATGGAAGATCACCATGTTTCAGTCATTTAAAATATCAGCTTCTAGTGCAAATGTGAGTCAGACACCCTAATCAATGCCCAAGACACAAACTCTCTGATATAACATAAGCAAATAAGCTTAATTCACAGAGGACACATCCGTACTTCTCCTGTTCAAAAGCACCTCAAACGTATGGTACAGTCAGAGCTTTACACTGAGGGAACTGGCTTGGAGTCTGTGGAATGTACAATTTGTGGACCTTAAGATTTGATGATGTCACTTGACATTTCTGTTAACCTGTAAGCTGCCCATACCGTGTGCCCTGCCACAGTGACTGTTGGGAAGTGTGGCCCTGCCCACAGGTTACTGAGAGCTGATTCAAGTGTGTGCTCTTGGATTTTTTTTTTGCTGCAAGAAGGCGATGTGATTGTAGAGAACAACTGATGCTAATTTCTTTCTTGTTAAAAAATATTCATTGTTATTCCCCTGAAGCAAAGTTTGAACAGATACTTTAAATGTTCAAATGTCTGTTAGAAAATGAGATGAGCATAGACGAATATATTGGCGTAACTGCCAAAACTTTGTATTGCTTGGTAGAAACAGAGTACAAGAAAGTAGCACAACATGGCACTAATGAATGCTTATTTAGCAGCCTAAGCCGGTACAATGTATAAAGAAATGTATTCTGAATACATTCTTTCCATTCATTTAGCACAAATAAATTGGTTTCACTTTGCAGTGGAACAAAGTGTCACTTCTTGGTATTGACATCCTACTCGGTTACATTTTTCCTGAGATTCCTGTTGAGTACTGGGGTTTATATATTATTGATGATTTAAAATGGTTTACCTCATATATGTGAATATGTGGGCCATGGAAAATGACAAGAGAATGTTTATTTTATGAGAATATGTATCTGGCTATAATCAGAGCAGAACATGAGTAATTTATCTTTTGTTTACAAAAGTTTGTTTGACATGCCTAATGCTTTATTAAGGACATTTTTAAGAAGGAAGTACAGCATTCTAGTAGTATACTAATACTCGTACATATTTTGTCATGTTTTCCACACACCTATTCAGTCAGAATTGCAAACTGAAAATCTTTATGAAAATAGTGCTCTAAATCAAAGTCGTAAGTTAAAATAATGTTGTAAAATGTTCTGCTTAAGGCAAAATTAGAATTTTTTCACTGTAGCTATGTAGCTCTGAGAGAATTTAGAGAAATGCATATATAGTCTATTACACTTCTTAAACCAATGTGGGATCAAGTGCATTATCAAATTACATTACATTAATAATGGTAGTGACTCTGCAGTCAATTTGTAAGATTATGGCAGACCTAAAATTTGACCACTGCTTCCATCTGAAAATAACTGACCATACCAGATGCTCAGCTTTCCGTAGAGGAAACTCAGCTCTGAGCATTACAATTAAACAGAGCTCCTGAATCAGTGATAGGATTGCATGGGAGAAGGTGACAGGTAGTCCAAGGTGGGACTAAAGTCAAGACAGGATCAGCTTAGTTTGTTGCTTGTCCTTTTGTAAACATAAAACAAAGAAAAAAGAATTCTTTATTAAGTAGGATTCCAGCTCAAGTATCCCAGAATTTGAAATGGTGCCCTCCTTTCTGAAGTGCTTTGAGATCCTTGGATGTACAGCTCTGTGGAGGGCAATCTCATGGTGCTGGTAGCACAAATGTGGGTGGAAAGGGAAGAGCCTTTGATGGGGTTTTAAGATCTCAAAATGGAAAATTGCATAGAATAATTTACATTTTAAGCATATTCCAAAACTGAATTTGTGTAACCCAAGTTCAGCTGCTGTTATAAAGTGTCTTAGTGAATTCTCCTTACTGTTCCAGTGGGACTATTACCAGAAGAAAGTAAAGAACTGACAAATGTATACTAAACCTTGGAAGTGTAAAAAGGCACTAAACTGGCCTTATCGAACTAAGAACGTTGAACAAACATTTGCTTGCAATCAGAAGTGTTAAATTCTATTTGTAGACTTTTTGAATAAGATGAGAAATTGTGCACAACCATCTCCTAATAAATGTAAATGGATTTTCAGTTCTCCTTGTGAATTATAGTCATGAATTATGATTCTGCAGCTGTGATTTCTATCAGATCTGTAGACTGGAGAAACTCACTCCAGCTCACTATGAGAGCTTAAGTGCTTTGTTTCTCTCAGAAGCACCTGGGTGATTTTCTGGCATCCTTTTCATCACTAATGCCTCTCAGTTGCACACTGCATTGTCACTAGTTGTGTTAAGGCCACAGAAGCAATTTTTAGCTGTGTGGAGCATTTTGTGAGCATGCCCCTTGACAGCTAAGATTAAAAAAATAAAATCTACTTTTCATCTATTTCAGCAGTGCTTTCCTCTCTGAAAATCAAGCAGCTTTCTTTTTGTATTTCCTCTCAAGGGATCTGTCTTGGACACTGGAATGCAGCTGATACTCTGTAGAGCATTAAGAGTTTATTTTGTCCACTGTTTGTACCACAGAAGTTCTTTGGAAGAAGAGATGGGACTGTTTGGAGGTAGTTTTCCAGCTCAAAGCCAGATAAGACTGTTTTAATTACATGTACTCTTCTGAGAACATATTCCCAAGGGCAGAAAGTACATCAGAGTTTTTACAGAATGTGTTAGTGCTTCTCTATTGGCAGTTGCTGTACTGGAGCTGAGCAGAAAAGGATTCCTTTCCTGTTAAAATGTTTTCATTTAGGAATCCAGCTACCTGGGTGGAATCCCTGGGCACTTCAGCTGAAAGAAAAATGCAGACTTGGAAGCAATGAAAATGAGAAAGCTTCCTGGGATCTGTGCAAGTTGCACTGCTGAGAGGAGAGTGTATGGACTCTGTAAATTCTGTTAAATAAATGAAAACTGATCATGGAGACGAAAGAGCCTTAAATAGTTTGTCGGTTAAAGAAACAGAGTCTTTGATCCTCGATATCGATTATTGCTTGCTAAGAGGATGCAGCCAGGGACCTTGATTGAGTTTTACAGTGCTTTTTCTGATCCTAATGCTTAGTTTTACAAGCAGTAGAAATTCTAATGCTGTTCAACTCTTTCTGATGTTTCCTTTTTTTCAGTCATGGCAGTCTATTTCTTTTTGATCCTTGGGAGTCTACAGAGCATGGACTATGCAGAGCATATTTCTCCAGTTCAAGCCATCTCATAAGAAACCAGAAGGTTTATGAGTGTAAGCTATGAAAGTACAATACATGCCTATGTTACAACAACCTCCTTGAGAGGAAAGATCTCTCCTCTTGAAGAGAGAGCAAACAGAGCCCCTAAATACCAAATGGACTGTATGCATAGAGACAATCTGGTTTCCTCAGTTCCCTGAGGACCTGAATTCCTCTCCCAGCCTTTCTTGTTTTGGTTTTTTTTTTTTTTATCAGATCAAGGTTCTTAAAATTTTAAATTATTTTAAATTCCGTGTTTAATTATAATAAGTACTCAGGATACCTTCATGTTAATTTTGGGTAACAGCCCCTAGTCCCAGTACAAGCAGAGTTTGAGTCAATGCCACTGTGTAGACAGGAGCAAATGACTGAATATGCCAGACCGTGGCCTTTACAATGCAGTTAAAGTGGGAATGTGTGTTCATATAATGATTTATTTTTCTAAGCAGCTGGTTTTGGATTTTAGGTGTGTTCTGAAGAGGAGATAAACTGTGGAGTTTGGCACTGCATTGCAGACAGCTGCTGCTACTTTAGGGAGAAGAGTGTGCCTGTTCCACTCAGTTGGGCTCCAAAGAAAAGTACTACCTCATCTTTCAGTTGGGATGATGTGCCCACAGGGTCAGCAGAAATGTCGTAGCTGTGTTAAATTTTATTCTGCATATATTACCTGGATGGGAGTCTTTCCTCAATGAAATGGGGCTCCAGAGGTTATAAAGCTTTTGTAGAGGAGGAGTGAAGAGTTAGGACAGATGGTTGAGGGTTGAGTTTGTGAAAATTGTGTCCCTGTAGTAAATTGCTACTCAGAGTGCTCTTTGTCTAGGTCTTGGGATTGCCTGTATTAAAACTATTTTGTGAGGGGGCTTTTTATTTTTGTGATTTCCTTTGAAAAAATGCCATGTTGCAGTTCTTTAAGTTTACGGGATTGATACCTAATTGAAAAACAACAATAACAAAAAAAATCACAAAAAGCAATTCCCCTTTCCACAGAAATATTGCAAAGGTGGGTTTTCTCATGATAAAAATTAATGCTGTATCTATAAACAGAGATGTTTTATTCTAGTGGTAAAACCTAAGCTGTCCGAGGCACTTTAGTTTGTGATTGCTGACTTTTGTTTTGGCAGGTATTTCAGATGAAATCTAAGCCTCCTGTGGAGGAAGAAAAAAATCACCTGACAGCTGTAGACTGTTCCTTTCCTGCAGAAATACAGCCATTTCCTCAAATGCAAGTGGAACAAGCATCCTTGAGCTTTTCTGAAGCTTATATTTAGTTTCAGTACCTTGGTGATTGCTCTTGTATATTTAGAGAATCAACGAAGCCTCATTATAGGTTGGTTGGATGTCTAGCTGGTTGTTCCTATGTTTTTCTGATCCTAGTGAAGGAAGTCTGTTCGAATTTGGATCAAACAATAGCCAAAGTGCAGATTTGTTGAGCATGAATCCAAGTGATGATTTTAAGAACATTGTGTTGGTGTGGATCAGAGCTTATTGTAAGAACCTCAGATATAAAGAAGTTTGGTTTTTTTAGCAGGTTACATTTTTTTCTTGTTCTAGCTGTATTATTGCTTTTTTGTATATCTCAAGGTGTTTACATATACTTGTAATTGTTACAATGTGTCTGTAATCAAACTCATCTGTGCCTTCATGCAGACTTCCAATAAACACTTGATTTTTTTGTATTTACTTGTATGGAAGACTACTGGGTGGATGTATATTTCCTTCTCTGTCAGCCTGTCATCACTGGGAAAAAGAGGAAGAAAAATGAGAACTAAGGGGCAGAGAAAGATTAGTGTTTGTCTTTGTTTTTGCTATCTTTGGTTCTAGTTGGGCCTTTCCTTGTGTAAAGGTCTTGAGTGTGTGACCTGGGGAATAACCTGTTCACATAATAAAGTTTGCACAGGAGGTGCTCCTCATTTTGCATTAGGTGAATATTCAAAGTACAATGCATGCTTGATTCCATTAGTTTTGCTTCTGTCTTGGGAGAATGTAGCTATATTTCTTGAGTTATTGTTGTGGGGAAATTCCAGAGTACCTTTCTGTATTAATCATGTCTGTTTAACTTCTCACAGCTGCCTTCCATGGGAGCTCAGGCTTTTTTTTTTTTTTTTTTTTGCCACAGCAAAAGCTGCAGTATTTTCGGTCTTAGTTGACCTCCTTACCTTGAGGATACTTTTGCTTGGGAGGGTGGAATAGAATAGGAAAACAATAGAGTTTCATCTTTTTACTATTTTTTCTCAGTTCATAGGAACAGAGATGTATATTTGTACAAAGTTACAGAAAAACATCCTACATGTTCTGAGTCAAAAGCTGTGCACGGCAGGACAGCTATTTGTCTAATCTGATATCAACTGTGAGAAGAAGAGAAGGCAAAAAATGTTTCCTTGCCTATGCTAAGGGGTGTGCTGTATATTCTGTAGCTCAAGAAAGAATGCTTTTGCTATTCCTGTAGAGTAGTAAAAGTCATGGTATTAGGTATTCTCTTCCAGCTTTTCTTGATTGTCTTGTAATCACACCTGATTGCTCAATCAAGTAATTCTATTAGTGATGGATTCAGTTATTTTCTAATGGAGATCTGTCTTAAGAATCTACCATAATTTTTGCTGTTTTGACATATTTTCTTACTAAAACCTTAATCAGTTACTTAATGATTTTAGAATATAAGCCAGCTGTAAACTTTAGATTGTATGTATTTGTGTAAATTCTGTGAGTACTTTGTTGTGCCATCCCTTTTGATGTTTCTGATTTTATCACTTTTTTATTGTGTGCATTCATTCGTCAGCTTAGCACAGAGGTCACCTGTGGCATACTCAGTAGCTTATGTAAGTATTACTTGCTGTGTCTGGCTGTTTTGCCAATATTCTGGGTTTAGATCTGACAGTCTCAGAGGTACTTAAACTTATGCTTATCCTGTATTCAGTGTCTTGAGTGTTGCTAAACTTGTTGGTTGAACCCACTTGTGTCTGTTCAGCTGCTGCTCTGGCCTCTCTGTGACTGCTGCTCTGCTCAAGTTAGCACAGGCCTCTGCCTGCAGTAGGAAGTGTGCTCTTCCATTCTGACCAGTAAAATCCTGGTATTCTGATGGCTGCAAATTCCTGGGCGCCAGGCCATGTGTGTATTTCAGCGAATACTAACCTGGCTGATCCATGTTACTCTGTTCTTGGAACACAGGCAGTGTTTCTTAAAAGGCCTTTATTCTCCTCCTGCCCCTGCTGCAAATGCTGAGCAAGAAGTTCTGCGTGTCCCTGACTGCCACAACTGGTAGGTCTATGGACTGGGGGAATGAGCTGATGCTCTCTTTGTGCATGTCCCTTGTTTTTTGACATTTGTCTGAACAAAAATGAGCCACCTTAGCACTTTCAAAATAGCAGAAAAAGGAAAGATGGTGCATATTGCTGTTTCAAGTTCAGGTTTCCTCATCCAGGTGATCACCCCTTTAGATGCTTCTTTTTTATTTCTTCCAGTGCTTGTAACCCTTTATAAAGGAAAGCAAGTTCCCGGCATTACAGGGATTAACCTAGAAATCCTGGTAAACTGCTGAGAGTGAGAGAAAGAATGATGAATTGCACAGCAAGCAATTTTAATAAGTCTAATCCTTCCTGAATGTAAAGGTGCTGGCTTGGATATCAGTCTGTTTCACATGCTTCTGAGACTATTCTGTACTTTTCAAAGTACACAGCACAGCCATCCTATAGAAGCAAGAAGATGTTGAGGTCAGTCCTGCATTTTCCGGATGGAGACTGAAGGTATGTATAAAGACTCTTAGTTCACCTGGATTTAGAAAACAGTAAATATAGTTGGAAGGTCTGAGATGGAAACTTGAGACTTTTGAGCCTCAGGGCTGTTGATGACAGTCATCTGTGTTCCAAAATCTGTCTACCAGTGAAAATGCTCTGCACCATG